TACTACCACTACTACTACTACTACTACTACTACTACTACTACTACTACTACTTCTACTACTGCTACTTCTACTACTTCTTCTACTACTACTACTACTACTACCACTACTACTACTACTACTACTACTACTACGACTACTACTACTATTACTACTACTACTGCTACGACTACTACTACTACTGCTACCACGCCTACGACTACGATTACTATGACTACTACTGTTACTATTATTATTACTACTATTACTACGACTACGACTACGACTACTACTACTACTACTACTACTACTACTACTCCTACTACTACTACTACTACTACGACTACTACTACTACTACTACTACTACTACTACTATACTACCACCACGACTACTATTACCATTACTGCTACTACTACTACTACTGCTACTACTACTACTACTACTTCTACTACTACTACGACCTACTACTACTACTACTACTACTACTACTACTACTACTACGACTACTACTACTACTACCACTACTACTACGACTACTACCAATTACACTTCTGCTTCTGCTATCTCATCCCCCTCCCCCCTCTTTCACACCGCGCGTGAGTGCGCTTCCGCCTGCGCCTTACACTCCATGGGGTAAGGCGAGGAAGTGATTTTACTCTCGTCCCTGACTTCTGGTCGTGACCAGTCGCGGTGCAATTCTCGAATTGAACCTAGTCTGGGCTTCGCTTCGCGACACATCCGATTCGGCGATCGAGGTCCCCTTCGCCCCGAGCCCAGTAGGCCAGCGGATTGGGACAGCGTGACTGCTTTCCCTGGCACCCTGGCCCCGATGCCGAACGTGGCGCTGTTAGACGCTTGTACTGGGACAATCCTCGAGCACTCCGCCCCGACAGAGGTGATTCTTTTTTCTTGTGGTATCAAATTTGCGGACTCACATGGTCGGGATACGAGGCATGTTCCCGTACGTATCTCTCGCATTCTCGTGCTCATTTTTCTTTGCCTGGACCTGTTTGCTTCTCGTTGTCTTCGCAATGCCCACAATGTTGGCTTTTTCAGAGTCTATCCGCGTTCCGCCGTCTCCTCTTGCTCGCCGTTCTCGCCTCTGTGATGGCGACGCCGAAAGTCTCAGGGCTTCTGCTGAACCCGGGGCGTGCGCTGCCCCGTCGAGTTGGCTACGTCGAATGGGCTACACGAGTCCACGGCAGCCGATTGCAGCTGGCAGCTATTGCCGTGTGCTGGTGCCGCCTTCCCCCCTTCCTCCCCCCGCGCGGCCGCCCTCGTCTTCTTTCTTCCCCCTTGCACGCTGGACAATTTGCATGTCGGTTGCCCGGATTCGCCTCACGCTTGAACGGAGTGCCTCTGCCTCGGCGCCGGCGAAAACATGTGCCGGTGCCACACCTGTGCGCACGTGGGCGCCAGCGGAGCTATCGGCGACTGACGAATGTCTTGAGGGTGCCGCAGTCGGGGTTCGGCGCTTTCCCCCGCGCCGCTGGGGCCTTCCCTCGCCCGCGGGCGCGGCGAACTCAGGAGGAGGAGGAAGAGCAGGAGGAGGGAGGGAGGGGGACGAGGAGGAGGAGGAGGAGGAGGAGGAGCAGGGGGCAAGAGCAAGGATGAGGCGAAGTTCTCGCGCTGCACGTCTTCGCCACTCCGAGCGCCGTTGGCATCGAGCACTTGTTCCCGCGCGCACGTGTGCAGCTCGGCCAGGTTGTTCGGATTGCGTACCTTCTTGGGGGGAGGGGGAGGAGGAGGAGGAGGAGGAGGAGGAGGAGGAGGAGGAGGAGGAGGAGCAGGAGGAGGAGCAGGAGGAGGAGCAGGAGGAGGAGGAGGAGATGGGGAGGGTAGTCGGTATGCCGAGCAGTGGACGGGACGAGAGGCCTAACAGCCATGACTCAGAATATCAACGCTCACGGCCATCTGAGTGATGGTATTCGCGTCGGTTAGGTATGAGGCACATGGGGCAACATCGCCTCATGAACCCCCGTGAACAAACCCTTCACTCAAAGACTTTATTCCCGAAAGGGTGCTCGCCCTGGACCTCTCAGCCTCTGTCCGGGGGCAAGCTCCATCGTGAGCTGGCGTTTGATTGTCCTGGAGCCCGAGGGCGCTCCCCTGACGCCGAGAATTGCGAACCGAAGCCGTCACCTGTTTTTGTTAAGTGCGTCGGAGGAGTGGTCGCGTCGTTCGCACCTTCCTGCGACCGCCCCTCCTGTGTTCGCTGCTCTCGCTGATGTCCGCCCGTGTCGGAGAGGTGGTTTTCTCTCTCTCTCTCTCTCTGTCTCTCGCTCGCTCGCTCGCTCGCTCTCTCTCTCTCTCTCTCTTCCTCTCTCTCTCATGCATACATAGCTATACACACTTAGGTGTATGCATGCATGCATGCATGTATGCATGTATGCATGTGTGTATGTGTGGATGTATGTGTTTACGTATGTGTGTATGTATGTACGGATGTATGGATGTGTGAACGTACGTGTGTGTATGTATGCACGTATGTATGTTTGTATGCATGCATGTATGTATGTATGTATGTATGTAGGTATGTATGTATGTGTTTGTGTGTATGTATGTATGTATGTATGTATGTATGCATGCATTCATATATGTATGTATGTATGTATGTATGTATGTATGTATGTATGTATGTATGAATGAATGGATGTGGGTACGTATGTTTGTATGCACGTATGTATGTATGTACGTATGCATATATATGCATGTATGAATGAATGTATGTATGCATGTGTGTGTGCATGTATGTACGTATGTATGTATGTATGTATGTAAGTATGCATGTATGGATGTATGTATGTTTGTGTGTATGTGTATGTGTGTATGTATGTATGTATGTATGTATGTATGTATGTATGTATGCATGCATGTATGTATGTATGTATGTATGTATGTAGGTATGTATATATGTACGTATACATGTGTATGTATGCATGTATGTATGCATGTATGTATGTATGTATGTATGTATGCATGTATGTATGTATGTATGTAGATATGTATGCATACGCGCATACGTCTGGATCGCGATCTCGTGAGCAGGGAAACAATATTTATCGTGGGAGGGGCGGGGCTGCGAGGAGAGGGGGGGGAGGGGAAGAAGGTTGAGGAAAAGGGAGACCTTGAGGGTCATGGCAGTGATGGCAATGAGGAGGAGGGGGAGAAGTCTGAGGAGGGATCGGGAGGACGTGGATGCGGAGGGGAAGTAAAAGGGAAGCAAGAAGGGAACGACGACAAGAAGGAGGCAGAGGAGGCATCCTCCTTGTTCTGCTAATCCAGTCCCCCTCTCGAGCGGGAGGAGTATACAGAAGGAAAATGGGGTGACACGGAGAAAGAGTCGGAGAAGGAGAGAGAGGATGGGGCGGAGGAGGAGGACGACGACGGCGACCGGGAACACACGTTGGAGGCCGAGGAGTGGCAGGAATAGCAGTTTCGGGAAGAGCAGAGCGAGTAGAGGAGGAGGAGGAGGAACAGGAGCAGGAGGAGAGGGAGGAGGAGGAGGAGGAGGAGCAAGTGGAGGACAAGGACGACGACGACGATGACGACGATGATGATGATGACGGCGATGATGACGAGAATGATGACGATGATGATGGTGACGGTGATGTTCAGGTTGACGATGATAATGATGCTGATGAGGAGGATGATGATGATGACGATGATGATGATGATGCTGATGCTGATGCTCATAATGATGCTTATGATGCTGATGCTGCTGATGTTAATCATGCTGATGCTGATGCTGATGCTGATGCTGATGATGATGCCAATGATGATGGTGATGCTAATGCTGCTGACGACGATGGCGATGACGATCTTGCTGCTGGTGAGGATGCTGAGTATGATGATGCTGTTGCTGATGGTGATGATGCTGACCACGATGATAATGATTAGGGTGATGCTGGTGATGACGATGGTGATAATAATCAGGATGATGATGCTGATGATGATGATGATGATGATGATGATGATGATGATGATGATAATGGTGGTGGTGATGATGGTGATGATGATGGTGCTGATGATGATCATGATGACGAAATGATGGTGATGCAAGGAGGAGGAGGACGAGGAGGAGGAGGAGGAGGTGGATGAGGAGGGAGGGAGGGAGGGAGGGCGGGAGGGAGGGAGGCGGAGGAATGGGAGGGGGAGGAGGGGGAGGACCAGTGTAAACCCAAGAGTCATCAACGATGTTGGAGTAATCCCTCCCTCCAAGCTCCCTCTTCATTGGCCCCTACAGCGGTTCATCTTCTTTGAAGGAATTGGCTTTTTGGAAGACAACCGTCTGAAGACCCTGACGCATGCCAAAATCTGGTTCTCGGGATTCCAACGCCACGGATCAACCTGACAGTTGCGTCTTGACAATCTTGAACCGTGCCAGAACGCCACTCCTGGGACTTCAACACAGCGAACCAACATAATTGTTGCACCCGCATAATCCTGAGTCCTTTCAAAACATAATTTCTGGCACGTTGATGATGGGAATACATGAGACTCTTGCACTTTTGTTAAAACAGACTGTGCGCCGCGCTAAGGCGAGAGCCACATGTTGAAAAGGAACCGCCCTCAATCCGTGAAGCCCTTTCAGCTTTCATAAGCGAATGTGCGCCGCGCTAAGGTGAGAGCCACATGTTGAAAACCACCTGCCCTCGATCCGTGAAGCTCTTGTCCTTTGTTACAGCTCATGTGCGCGGCGCTGAGGCGAGAGCCACATGTTGAAAAGGAACCGCCCTGAATCCGTGAAGCTCCTGCAAATTTTTGAAAATATGCGCGCCGCGCTAAGGTGAGAGCCACATGTTGAAAACCACTCGCCCTCAATCCGTGAAACTCTTGCGAACTTTTGACAGGATGTGCGCCGCGCTACGGCGAGAGCCACATGTTGAAAATCACCCGCCCTCAATCCGTGAAGCCCTTGCAAATTCTTAAAACGAACGTGCGCCGCGCTAAGGCGAGAGGCACATTTTGAAAACGACCCACCATCAATATGTGGAGCTATCGCGAATTTTCAAGCTTCAGAGTCATAAGCGGTGAGGAAGTCTCAGGCGAAGCGCCCGGTCCGGAAGTCCCAGGCGTAATTGGCCCCGGGGTGTGACAGGGAGGAGTTGTTAAACAAGGAAAAGGAATGGAGGAGGAGGAGGAGGAGGAGGAGGAGGAGGAGCAGAAGGAAGAAGAGCAGGAGGAGGAGGAGGAGGAGGAGGAGCAGCAGCAGCATGAAGAGTATAATGAGGTTGCAAGAGGGTGGAATAGCACGACGACGACGGGTACCGACGACGACGCAAGTTGCTTCAAGGGCGCACGGCTGGGGGCCGCGTTCCTCATGCGCATGTTGCAGCTCCACTTCGCCAAGGCGGGGCCGTGCGCCACCAGCTCTAATAAAGGGGCATGGGGGAGAGGGGCAGGAGGGGGAATACTGAGGAGGAGGAGGAGGAGGAGGAGGAGGAGGAGGAGAAGGAGGAGGAGGAGGAGGAGCAGCAGCAGCACCAGCAGCGCGACACGAGGAACAGGAGGCGGAGGAGAGGGAATAAATAGGCCGCTCCTGCCTCATCAGCGCGCTTCTCCCTCATGGTCCCTCGCCTTCTCCTCCTCCGCCCCCTCTCCGTCTGCATCCTCCCTCCCCCTACCCCCCCCCCCCCTGACAAAAGGGGGGGGTGCTGGGAGGGGGGGAAGGTGGACGAATGGGGTGTCCGGCCGAGGGGGGTGGATAGGGGATGGGCTGGGCGAAGGAGGAGGAGGAGGAGGGAAAAGAAGAGGAGGATGAGGAGGGGGAGAAGAAGGAGGAGAGGACGAAGAGGAGGGGGAGGAGGAGGAGGAGGAGGAGGAGGAGGAGGAGGAGGAGGAGGAGGAGGAGGAGGAGGAGGAGGAGGAGGAGGAGGAGGAGGAGGAGGAGGAGGAGGAGGAGGAGGGGAACAAGGAGGAGGAGGAGGAGGAGGAGGAATAGGATCAGGGCGGGCTTGATGGCGAAGCACCGATGATGAGAAGGAGGAGGTGGAGGAGAGAACGGATGCGCAGGAGGAGGAGCCGGAAGAAAATGATCCCCCCCCTCCCATCCGCATCCTACAGTCCACTTCTGTTCTCTCACGATCCTTTCGATGAGGGCATGGGGGGAGGCGGACACCGAAGGAACATCCCCCGGCCAGGCGCCGTGCGCAGCGAGCTCCAGGGACGGGGGGGAGCTGGAGGAGGCAGGCGCATAAGCAAGAAGAGCAGGAATCGACCACACGTAAGAGTGACTGTTCGCTGGAGTGACCTTTGGTGCGGGCCCATTGGGGTGCCCTGACCGTCGAACGCGATGCGATAGTAGCGTCTTGCGCGCTTGTGTTTGGTCGCCCCGCAGCCCCCAAAAAGTCGTGCACCAGAGGTCACTCTTACCCAGGGTCACTCTTGCGAGTAGCCGAGGGAGGAGCAGCACGCGTCGGTGAGCAGTGGTGGGGGGGGAGTGCGGGAGGGGAGGGGCAGGACGGCGGGGGGAAGAGAGAGGTGCAGGGGCAGGCAAGCTCCGGCACGGCGGCCCCGAACGAAGCCCGGTGGCGACGGGCAGGAGGTGCAGCGGCAGCAGGAGGAGGAGCCTGCTCTGACGATAGGGATGCGTTGGACGAAGAAGAACAAGACTACTAACGCGAATAACAACAATGATTATATGAACAACCATAAGAGCAGGAATAGCAATGATCATATGAGGACTAGTATCAATAGGAATAACACTGTATAGCGATGAGAAGATTCATACTCATAAGAAGAAGAGGAATCGTAATACGTAGTGGGAGAAGAAGAAGAAGCATAAACAAGAGGGGAGCTTCTCGGAGGTGTCGCTGTGCACAAAAAGACCATGAAGGGGGCGCAGCATCGCGAGGAGGCGGAACATTGATACAGTATGAAGAAGTTGTTGGGGAGAGGAGAAGGAGGAGAAGGAGGACAAGGATACGTACGGATGCCTCACCAATGCGGCGCGATATTCTACGAGCACCACGGAAAAGGGGGAGGGCTTGGGCAGCAACATTGGGATCAACAGGAGCGTGACGAAGAGGCTTCGAGCAGGGGACGGATGAGGAGGAGCAGCGTAGAGGCTTCATGAGCAGCAGCAGACTGGAGCAGCAGCACGAGTCGATGAGATGGGGTAGGAGGAGAAGAGCTGGATGGAAGACGGACGCAGCAGCAGCATCAGGAGAAAGAGGAGGATGCGGGAGAGATGGTTGAGGAGGAGAAGAGTTGGATGTGGGTGAAGTAGAGAAGGAGGAGACGGAACAAATACTAGTCAGAGGGATGCTATTCGTCTCTCCGATGGTTGAAGGTCCCGTCCTTCCCTTGAGGGGCCCCCCCCGCCCCGCTTCAATATGCATTCCCCCGCTGTCAGGTCCCCCCCCCCGCGGCCCGTTCCTTTGCAGGCCCCGTCGAAGGTTCCTCATCCCTTTCGAGGCCCCCTCCGCACCCCTTGGCCATTTGAGCCATTCCCCCCCTGCTGCCCCCCATCGTGGCCCTTCCCTTTCAGGTCCGTCGCTTCTACTAAGGCCTCCCACCTTCCCAGCCCTCCCATGTCAGCCTGCCCGCCCCACTGGCATCCCTCGACCCGTTGTCAGACCAGCCCCGGGGTCTTTCTTTGTGCATTGCTTCATCTATCTTGTTCAGTGCGATCTCCCTCCTGTGTCAGCACCTCGGGCACCCCCCACCCCCCGCCCCTCACGTCCTCTCCCCATTGCATGGGGTAGAGGAGGATGAGGATGCTTCGGGGAGAAGGCGTCGAAGAGAAGGAGGACGAGGGGGGGAGGACCTCGAGGAGGAAGTTGCAATCGAGAGGAGACGAGGCCGCGAGAGGGGGGATCAGCCTTGCCCAGGCGGCGATTGGCGCCACCAAGAAGGCGATGAAGCTGGTTCTCGCAGATCCCTCCCGGTGCCGATGGGCAGGGCGAAGGAGGGGAGAGCGGAGTGGAGGGGAGGGGAGGGGAGTGGGAGGGAGGAGGATGAGGGGAAAAGGAGTTTGAAGAGGAGAGGGGAGGATGGAGGACGAGGACGAGGAGGAGAGGGGTAGAGCGAGGATGCTGAAGTTTCCGCCCTCTCAGGGCATCCTGGGATGTCCTCTCGGCCACGGCCTGTTGCTTGAAGAGTTGGGTAGGACAGCTCCGAGAGGAGGCCTGAGGCCTGCGGCCTTCGGAAAGGAAAGTGGATGTGGAGAATCCAGACGTCCAGCACCATCGAGAAATGATCAGCGCCTCGCCACTGCGAGGGGGGGCGGGAGGGAGAGGAAGGGGAGAGGGAAGCAGCGTTGCGAACAGGCGTTTTTTCAGGCAGTCCGCCTCCCCAGCGCGCCCTCCCCGTCAGCGTGCCCTCCAGCGTGACGCGCCCTCCCGGCGCGCCCTCCCGGCGCGCTCTCCCCGCACGCTTTCCCGCTGCGCCCTCCCGGCGTGACCTCCCAGCGCGCCCTCCGGGCGTGCCCTCCCTTCGCGCTCTCCCAGCTCGCCTTCCCTGCTCTTGCCAGGTGCGCGCAGGGACTATGTAGAACCATTCGGGCCCCCTCATCCTCCTCCTCCTCCTGCTGCTCCTCCTCCTCTTTCTACTCCTCCTCCTCCTCCTCTTCCTCCTCCTCCTCCTCCTCTCCTCCCCTCCTCCTCCTCCTCCTCTCCTCCTCCTCCTCCCCTCCTCCTCCCCCTTCCTCCTCCCCCCTCCTCCTCCCCTCCCTCCCTCCCTCCCTCCCCTCCCTCCCCCCCTCCCTCCCTCTCCGTGCCCCCCCCCTCCTGATCCGCCCCAGCCAGCTCCCGCTACTCGTCGTCGCCCTCAACCCTCAACTGATTGTTCGACGCTCAAACATGCAAAGTGCAAACATCATGATAGGTCCCCCCTCCATAGGGGAAACTATTTCACGCATCGGGGGCCCGACATTCCCTCGCCAGATCTTCCGTCCAAGGAGGTCGAGCCGACACCTGTCCAGGGGCACTTCGCAACTTTCAGATGGCACAACAAAATCAGCAGAATCAGTGCAGATTCGTGGAAGAACTACAACCAGTCCACCTTACAAGAAGAAAAAGGGAGCGAGGAGTACGAGGAGTACGAGCAGAAGTGGAATGCGTAGGATTTTTTTACGTGTTTGCGGGGCTACCTTGGATGCTGCTAGGACCGTCTGGGGCTGTCCTTGGGCATCTTGGGAGCCTGTAAGGCCTTCAGGGGTCCTCCGGGGGCTTCTGGGGTCGTCCTGGGTTGTGTGTGGGAAGGTGTCCTAAGGTTCTTTGGGGGGTCCTCGGACCGCCTTGGCGCCCTCTTGGGGCGCTCTTGGAAATTCTAGACGCTTCGCGTACCCCCACCAGTCTGGACTGTGTCACCAGTCAGTCTGTGCTTACCCGTCAGACTCCCTGGATTGACGTCCCGCTCGGATTTGTTTTTCCCATTCGGTCGTATTCGATCTGTTGGGAACGCTCGCGCCATTTTGGCTGCGTTCGGCCTCCACGGTGCCTGGTGTCAGACTCCCTGGATGCGCCGTTGCATGTTTCTTCAGGGGCTGCCCTGCAGACTCCCTGGATTGCACGCTTGGCACAGACGCCCTGGGTCGCTGCTGCCTGCCGCCTGACCGCGGCCCCGCGCGCGCCCGCCCTCCTTGTCGCGGCCGCAGCCCGACCGTGACCGCCTGCCGCTGGCGCTTCCGCCTGCGGCTGTAAAAAAAAGTACCCCCACCAGTTTGTTCTCCGCGGGGTGCGCCTTGGAGGGCCACCGACGAGCACAGGGTGCTCTGTGAATGAGTTTGCCTCGTTGCTAGACCTTCTGTGCTCTTTCCTGCTTTGTCCTCTCGCTTCTTCCCGGGCTACGTCCCTAGCGGCTGCAGGGTTACAGGCCCTGTGCCCGGCGTCTGTGGCGGTTCCCCCTACGAGCTGGTGCCTTCAGGGCAACTCCTCGTTGGTTCCGCTGGCAATCGCTCAGTGGTTCTTTGCATGTGCACTCTCGGCATCGGGCTGTTGGGCCGCGTGGCATCGGCCTGCGCGTCCAACCGCTTGGCTTTTCAGGCCCGGCTCCTGCTTGTGCAGTTGTCTTGCACTCTGGGCTTTTCCTTACAGGCCGCTGGTCAGGTTTCCCCACCTGTGGGTCCTGGCTTGTGCACAGTCTGCCGACAGTCTGTGGCAGCTCCGCTTGCGAGCTGGCGTCGTCAGGGCGCCTCCTCGTTGGCTTCCGCTGGCATTCGCCCAGTGGTCTTCTGCATCTCTAATTATCTGGCATTTCGCCCCATTGCCTTGTGACGCGCCCTCTGGACTTCTCCTTGCGGACCGCAAATCAAACAAAGTACCCCCACCAGCCTACCTGGCATGCTCTGAGCTGCTGCCGCGGCCCTGGCCCTTGGCGCCCTGCGGCGACATGGTCAGTCTGTACCTGGTCACTCCTGGCCACAGTGCCTGTGCTCAATCGCGTTTGCCCAGCTCCGTTCCTGGTTGCGCACCGCTTTCTGGTTCACCGGCACTGGCAGCGCCCTCGCCAGCTCGAGGCAAGGCCGTGTGCACAGTGCTGGTCAGGCGTTTCTGGCGTGCAGTTCCTAATTCCACCTCTGGCACCTCTGCCTCGGGTCTGCAAGTTGCATCAGCTTCCCTGGACGTTGCAGACCAGCCATCCAGTTCCACTAGCAGCAGCTGCACCTCAGCCGCCGCTTCTGAATGCTGGCCCGGCCGGCTTGCGTGTCGCTCAGTAGCTAATTAGGCTGGCCCGTGCCTCGGACCCCCTCTCGCCGCCTGCCCTTTCGCTTGCGGCCGCGACCAAAAAAGAAAATACCCCCACCTGCCGGCCCTCCCCGGCTTGTCTCACCTCGCGCTGTTCTCTCGTTGTCTCTCTCCCCTTGTCCCCGGTGCAATTTAGGGACGGCGCGCGGCCCTTCTGTTTGCGCTCGCGATCAAAACAAATCCCCACCAGCCCATCCAGAAACGATGCCCGGGCGAGTTGAGGTGATCAGGGAAGTGCGGGATCAAAGAGGCGTGCGGCCGAACCGCGCGAAGGAGGGAGGATGAGGAGGACGAGGAGGAGGATGAGGAGGAGGCTGAATCGATGGATGAGGGAGTGGGGAAAAGGAATATTAATATGATGATGATGAGGAGGAGGAGCAAAAGAAACAAAATGAGGAAGGAGGAGCAGGAGGAGGAGGGCAAGCAAAAGGGCCAGAGGTCTCTCGGATGCCTCTCGTCGCCTCTTGGGATATCTTTTGGGCGCTTCTTTGGAGGCCTCTTGGGACGTCTTGGGGGTCTCTCGGCGGTCCTGGGGGGGCTCTTGGGCGTCTTGGGTGCCTCGGGGAGATCTCTTGGGGCCGCTTGGGGTCCTCTTGGGGGGCCTCCTGGGGGCCTCCTTGAGGCCTCTTGGGGCCATCTTGGAGCCATCTTGGGGCCATCTTGGGGCCTCTTGGGGCCTCCTGGGCGCCTCTTGGGGTTATCTTGGAGGACGTCGATCAAAGAAGGGGGTCCCTTAATTTGCGTCGCCCCTCGGGAGCCCCCCAAGTCGCCTTTTTGAGCGTTCTCGGGGCGCTCTTGGGCGCTCTTGGGGCCGTCTTGGGGCTCCCTTGGGCCCCTCATAGGGCTCTCTTTGGCCATCTTGGAGCTATCGTAAGGATCCGAATGGCCATCGGAAGCGAAAAGGCGAGAAAGTAAAAAACATATGTTTTTTCCCCAAGGTTGTTGAAGGATGTTGGCCTCTTGGGGGCATCCTTGGGGAGCTCGTTTGGCATTTTAGAGCCGTTTTGGAACAGTCTTGGGGCGTCTTGGAGCATGTTGGAAGCCATCTCGAGGCATCTTGCGCTATCTTGGGCCATCTTGGAGCTCATCTTGGGCTCTCTGACGCCCTCTTGGGGCCATCTTGGGCCATCTTGGACGCCCTGACCGCTCGCGGGGCGCCCCGTCCAGGTCCGGGGAGGGGGTCGGGGGAGGGGTAAACCCCTCCCCGAAAGGGAAGAAGGGAGGTGGAAAAGGAAACGCTCTAGACCACCAACGCCCAGAGGGCCGGTGGGATTTCAGAGCACCTCTTCGAAACCCTTAGGCCTTTTTCCCGAGTCTTTTCGGACCCTCCTGGGTCCGCGAGGGAGCCGTCCAGAGGCGATGCTTAGACAAGGGCCCCACTCTTGAGAAGATGTAAGACGCTTCCAGCGGGCATCCAGCGGGAGCGTTGTTGTCGCAGGGGGGCGGCTTGCAATGCCGAGGCGAGAGCGCCACTCCTGGGTGGGAGAGGCGAAGAATAATCTAGCGGGAGCGCTGGTGTTTCTTGCGGTGCCAGTTTCCGACTGCGAGCAAGAGTGCCAATCTTGAGTCAGAGGCGAGGAAGTATAGAGAGCGAGAGCGTTGGTTTAGTTGGATGGCCGGTATTCTGCGGCGCGCCGCCGAGGCGAGTTCGCCATTCCTGAGTAAACAGGGAGGAGTATAAAGTGGGAGCGTTTGCTTGGATGCAGGGCCTCTTCGGTGTTGAGCGACGACGTGGAAGTCTCGAGCGGGAGCGCTGTTGTTTGGGGGGCGTTTTGCGCGCCACCCCGCACTGCAGCGCTCGAACGCGAGCTTCGCTCTCAAGGGGAAGTTAGCCGGCGCCGAGATGATTTTCACCTCCACGGACGTAGGTGGGCCAACAATAGCATCCGTTTACAGCAGCTGAAGTTCAGCAGCAGCAGCAAGAATCACTGTTTAAAGTCTCTATGATATTCGATGCTCGCTTGTCGTTCAATGTGGACTCCCCCGCACCCTCGACACCCTTATGTTAATTCTTCTGATTCGTATCCTTTTCCTTGGATCGTACCCGTTGGTGGGGTACTTCTTCCTACTTGCCTAGTGTAGTTGGCACGACCCCTCAAATAGGTGGAGGAGGAGGAAGAGGAGGAGGAGGAGGAAGGACAAGAAAAAAGGGATAGAGGAAGGAAAGGAGGAGGATCCGAGAAAGGAGGGGGGCAAGATGATGGGAGGATGAGTGTGGGCGAAGGACTTGATCAGGCGAGGCAGCGGAGAGAAACCAAAATCTTGGCAAGCGGACCCTGAGGGGCGGGTTTGGCGGGGGGACCTGACGGGCAAGCCGCGCGGGCGGACCCAGACGTGCTGGTCGGGCGAGCGGGGCATCAAAGCGGGCGGCGGGCTTCAAGCGAGCGAACGGGCGGACTCTGACGGGCACGTCGGTTGGGCGGACCCTAACGGGCGGGCCCGGTGGGCGGACCCTGAACGGGGGGTCGAGCGAGCGGACCCCAACGGGCGGACCAGACGGGCGGACCCTAATGGGCGGACCCAAGCGGACCAGGCGGACGGATCCTAACGGGCGGGTCGGGCGGGACATTGAAACGGGCGGGCGGGCTGCCACGCAGGTGAACGGGCGGACCCTAACTGGCGGGTCGAGCGGGGGGGCTCACCGGGAGGTCGGGCGGGCGGACCCTATCGGACGGGTTGGGCGGGCGAGGCATTGGAACGTTTTTATACAGTGCGGAGAGGCGTCGGGAGAAAAGGCGAATCTGGAGTAAGTCGGGAGGAAGGGTCGTGCGAGAGCTCGATCCCTAGGCGTCGAGTGCGCAGCGCCTACGTGAAATGCAACGAAGTTCCAGGCGAGAGCGCGAATCGTACATTCATCGCAAGGAAATCTCAAGCGAGAGCGACGTTCCTGGATAAAGTGTGAGGAACTATCAGGCCTGAGCCTGTGTTGTCGGAGGGCCAGGGGCACAGTTTGAACACCCAGTATTTGCTTGATAAATTCGGTGTGAGCCGCGGGGGGGCATTTCGATTGGAAAGAACACTGCGCACTGGCGGGGGATCAACACTATTCATTTTCCATACGTGAGAGATGATTGACAAATATGTTCAGACTATGTGCTTTTCGTTTCTCGCATGTTGAATCCTCGATACCCGCCCTGTTCGTCTTCGATCGTGCCTCCTATGAGGGGTGTATTACATTTGCCTGCGACGTGTAGGTGTCGCGGTTTTGGGCTATGTTGCTGTTTTTGCGCTTCTGGAAACAACAGGACGTTTTTGAAATGAAGAAGCGAGACATCCAGGACGAAATGGCCTTCGCAGGAGGGGGAGGTAAGAGAGGCAGGAGGACTGGCATGAGGCCAACCCTGGTGAAAAGGATCGGGACTTCTCGGGAGGGCCGTGCTGGAAAGGTCGAGACATCGGCGTCACCCCAACATACTTATACTATATGTGCGTCGCCCCCCCCAGGGGCGACGCGCGCACCGAGAAATCTTATAGTATGTGTCGTGGCGGGCGCTTTCTGGCCACACCGCTCGGGAAACGATATACTACAAGATGGGTATACTATGTGTTCGGGTCGGACGCGCGCCTCCGAGGAGGACATATAGTACTAGCATGTCTCTGTGCGTCCCGAGACATCTCACTTCTGGGCCTCCTGCCTTCGACAGCCCGTGCCTCCCTCTCCCCCCCGCAGGCACGGCGGCCACATGCCGGCGGACGTGCCGACGGACACGATGGCGACGGACGCGTCGGAAGAATACGTCGCCCGGCCGCGCTGCGCGCGCCGATCCGTCGCCGGGAGCCCCGACCTCCGACGCCGCGGCTCCCCAGTCCTCGTCATCCTCCGTGGTGGGGCGGACCAGGCCAGTGCGCGTTCTTTTTTCTCGGAGCTCCCCCGAGAGCGACACGAAAACACGCACTGGTAATTACGGGCCTCCCCGCCTCGAGGACGAACCCGCTATATACCATCAGCGTGCACTGGCAGAGGTCCCCGCAGCTTTCCCGGGCTGGCGCTGGACGTCCCTCTCCGGCAAGCGCCGACCCGAGAAGCCCGGGCGGACGCCCAAGAATTCTGCCCGTGTGGACGGAACGACGACAACGACGCTCAGCAAAACTACGCCGACAAAGAAGACGACGACCCACGACGACGACGACGACGTTGACGTCGTTAACGACGACTGCGACGACGGCGGCGGCGGCGACGGCAGCGGCGGCGACGACGCCGGCGACCGCGCTGGTACCCCCCGGCGCAGAAGCCCTGGGACCCCAGGAGGAGAGCGAGGAGGAGGAGGAGGAGGAGGAGGAGGAGGAGAGGGAAGAGGATGAGGAAAACAGGGGTGGAACAAGGAGCAGGAGGAGGACGATGAGGACTGTAGTGGTTGCTGATGCCCTTGAGGGTAGGTGTAGTAGATCTGGTGAGTCGTGTGGAGCACTTGGGCTCCCCCATCCTTGAAAGCGGTGCTCGTGAAGGTAAGTAGGGCAAACCTTCTGGGCCCAGAGCTTGTTGCAACGACCGTTGTTGGCACCTGGTGCTGGTGGATGATAATCGCATTCCGCATACCTTGTGGCAGACACCTCTGTCTAAAGCAGCTATGCAGGACCACCTGCAGTGCCGCCCGCCAGGCTGGGACCAACAAGTCAGTGCCTCTGCGGGCGGGAACGTGGGATAGCCAGCGTTGCCGCCGGGCTGTGAGGTATCGCAGCCCCAGCATGATGAGGGGTCAACGCGCGAGGGGCCAGGGCCGCCCCAGCATTAGTGGTCAAGTCTTGGAGGCCAGAGGCCCCAGAATGAGGAGCCAAGCTCTTGCATAAGGGGTCAAATCGTGGTTGGTCAATGCCTCAGCATGGTTTGTCAGCATCGGAGGTGCATCGCATGCGGGCCCCCCGCTCCGGCGTGAAGGGACGACGCATGACGGGTCGCAGCCCCAGGATAGAACATGGAAAAAGAATGAGTGGTCAGATGCACAGCATGGATGTCCAGCGCGAAGGGGGGATTCCCCCACGTGAAGGGTCGGGAGGAGGGGGAGAAGGAGGAGGAGGAGGGCCGTAGCCGTTTTGGTTCAAGTTGAACCTCGGAGCCCTGGAGGTTTCAGCTTGTTGTAGCCAAGGGGCTGGCCCAAGTTCCCTGTCCAGGTTGCGCCGTCGATCCTGCTTTGAGCGGGCCCTGACGTCAGCGGTCCAGCTTCAGGCCAGTATCTCTCAGTGTGTAAAATGGCAGCATATTTGCAGACCCTACGTTCCAGTCGCAAGAAGGCCACAGCAGCACACCGCGAGACGGGCGTGCCGAGGCTCCCAAAACTGCTCGCAACGCCAAGCCGACCAGGCTGGCACTGTCGAGCTGCGCCAGCACGTCGCAGACACCAAGGCCGAGTTCCTGGACGCTTTCGCCGAGCTCGAGAACTCCATGGGCATGCTCTCTAGGTCCATCAAAGGCGGCCGGGAGTCCATGAACAAAGCTCGAGAGCAGGCTCGGTGCATTCGAACATCGTCGGTCCACACAAGAAACTCGCCTCGATGTCATGGAGGCAACCATCCGTACTTTGCTGGCTGCGCTGGTAAAAATCGATAAGTTCATGCCTCCTCCTGTTAGTGCTAACTTCGACAGGGGCGTTGGCCGTTCCATTTTCATCTTCCGTACCACGCTCTCCTCCGCACAGGACGACGTGTTCAAAAGCCTCCGCCAGTGGCTCCCGCGCGCCAAGCTTGATGATCCCGAGTTCGACATGGGGAGCGGATTCCCTAACACCAAGCATGTTATGTGCATCAAGAATAGCCGAGCTTACAATGGCAGGACAACTCAGCAAGCTCTGGGCGCCCTGCGAATAGCGAACACCACGTGGGGACGCTTCACAGCTCCAGGTGTGGGAGGCCAGTTGCAACGGTCCCCGCGCTCAGTTGCGTTGACGGGCTTGTTTTCCACCACCAGCACCAGAAGTTAGAGGGGGGAAGGAGGTGGAGGAAGGACGAAGAGGAGGAGGAGGACGAAGAGGAGGAGAAGAGGAGGAGGACCCCCTTCCCCTCCAACTTATGGTGGTGGTGGAGAACAGGCCCATCATGCGTGGCTCAGTCTATACCGCTTCCAAGCCGCACCGGCAAACACAATCCGCTCCGTCGTGAGCACTCTTGGCTCGCCTCCGTGTTCGGGCCGCTGCACTGCGCCTGTGCTCGTGCCGAACTCTGCGGGTGGTGGGAGTGGGGTGGGCCTCGGGTGCCACGCCTTCAGACAGCCACCGCCGCCGCGCCGCTCCGCACTGCACTCGTCGCTGCCCCCCGAGGGGCGGGATCTCTTCGGCACCCTCTGCCGCTGACCTCGGCAACCTCAAAGCTCGCAGTGGTCGGCCGAGGAGAGCTCCATCCGTCGCACTGGAAACATCCAGGAGGGAAACACACAGACAACAAGAATCGTCGATCCCCCAGAAAATATACGAGAATATGGGAAGTGGGGGAATACAAGACCCCCCCAAATATAGGAAAATATGGGGAATCCTGTTATTTGTGTCTATTTATGTTGTGTGTCCCAGGGCCCCTTCAAACATTCCCTGCTGGCGCAGAGCCTGCACGCTGCTGCTTCGGTTGATGAGCAGATGCTCGCTCCTGCCGGTGCTCCAGCTCGCACCGAGGCTCGTGAACTCTTCGCCGGATCTGACCCCAGTGAGCCCAGGCCGAAGATCCAACGGGCGATCGCCGAAGTGCTGCGAACACGTGTCTTCCCAGATGCGTTCGGCAACGCTTGTGCGAGAAGATTTCTCTGCTGGTTCTCCGCCCGTAGCGACGGGATAGTTGCGATCGGGTGGCAAGTAGGCAAAGCAATCTTGAAAGGTCAGCCTGTGAGTTTCAGCAGCGCCGTCACTAAAACTCTGGCTGGCGCTTGGGTCACCTCAGTTCGTTGCCATGACAGTAGCCGCATGGAGATGCATTATCGGATGTGGCGGCTCTGACGCATTTCTACACTATTGGTCGTCGTGCCCCAGGTGTCTAGAACTCACATCCCGCGTGTGTTATCCTTTTCATGTTCCTTTTGGGACTCTTGAGGGGTTTGGTGCGCGCGCGCGTGTGTGTGTGTGTGTTTGTGTGTGTGTGTTTGTGGCCCCAGTCGCTCCTCTCTCGGACCTTGCGCTGCCGCCGTTCTCTTGTTCACCACCGCCCAACCCTTTAGTTCTGCTCGCACAATTCTTCAGCCGTTGAGCGAGGATGATGCCGAATCGATTCTGCCACAGGTAAGGTCCAGCCTGGCCAGGATGAGGCTGGCGGTATCGTGATCGTCGAGCTGTTGTTGACGTTGCAGGACCCATCAGGTACGCTTCAGAGGGGGGAGGATGAGGATGAGGATGAGGATGCAGAGCAGGAGGAGGAGGAGGAGGAAGAGGAGGAGGAGGAGCATAACGACGGAGAGGGACAGCAGAGGAGGTAGAGCAGAAGGGGGATAATGGAAGGATCATGCGGGATAAGGACAAACGAGGTAACTGAGGATCATGAGGGAACAGGGACCGACAAAGAGGACAATTGAGGAGGAGGAGGAGGAGGATAAGGAGGGAGCAGAGACAGACAAGGAGGGGGTCAGGGGGCGGACGACGACGACAACGTCGACGATGACGACGACGACGACGACGACGACGAATACGACGAGAGCGCCAGGTGTACGATCGCCGTGCCGAACGCTGGCAGCAGTCCGCGGTGCAGCGCTATGAGCAGGCGACCTCACCTCCTCCCGCCGCTGGCCTGACTGACAAATCGACCATCAAGTATATTCTTTCCCCTTCTCATTTTCCTCCTTCTCATCCTCCCCATATTTTGGCGCTCTGCCACCTGATCCTGCTCATCCTCCCCCCTCTCCCCGTCCTCATCCACCCCTCCTCCTCCTCCGCCTCCTCCTCCTTCTCCTCCGCGTCCTCCTCCTCCTTCTCCTCTTCTTCCTCTTCCTCCTCCTCCTCCTCCCCCTACTCCTCCTACTCCTCAGGCTGGTGGCTTTAGGGTCGCTGGTGACGCAACGATCCCCCCCGGGCCGTTGTCTCTAGGGAGGCGATCAAATTCTAGACGCTTCGCGCACCCCAACCAGTTAGTGCGTTGCCTGTTGTAGCTAATTCGCCTTGCCTGCTGGCCCAGACGACGCCTTCCGTTCCCTGTCCGCCGCCTCGGAGCCGCCGACCAAAAAATATATCCCAACCAGTCGACGCAATGTACTGGCTGGTTGCCTCCCTGGCCACATCCTGGTTCGACCCTCGCGCCATTTTGGCTGCGCCCCAACCCTGGTTGGCTAATCTTGCATGTGCGCGCTCCTGGACCTGATCCCTGGCAGCTGCAGCTTGCACCCTCCCCTCACGCTGGCTCGCCCGCCGAGGCGCTGAGGTCGCCGGCCCGTCGGCGTTAGGCAATTCGGCTCTTGCGCGGCCCGATCGGACCTGACTTGCCGCTGGCGCCCTCGCCTGCGGTTGCGACAAGTATCCCAACCAGCCGTCCCTCGGCGGCAGCTCCGGCGGCCGTTAGTTTTTCGCGCCCAGGTAATTAGGTGTGGCTCATCGGCCGCGCTGACTTCGGACGGCGCCTGCGCTTCCGCTTGCGGCCGCAACTAAAAAGTATCCCAACCAGCCATCTAGAAACGATGTCCAGGCGAGTTAAGGTGACCAGGGAAGTTCGGGAGCAAAGAGGGTGATGGCCGAACCGTGCGAAGGAGGGATGACGAGGAAAAGGAGGAGGCTAGATGGATGGATGAGGAAGTAGGGAAAAAGGAAGACGAACAGGATGAGGAGGAGGATGAGAAGGAGGAGGAGGAGGAGGAGGAGGAAAGAGGAGGAGGAGGAGCAGGAGGAGGAGGAGGAGGAGGAGGAGGAGGTGGAGGAGAAGGAGAAGGAGAAGGGGCAGGAGGAGGAAGGATAAGCGGGAGGAGGGGGGCAAGCAAAAGGGCCAGAGGTCTCTTGGATGCCTCTCGTCGCCTCCTGGGGTATCTCTTAGGCGCTTCTTAATAAGCTCTTGGAACGTCTTAGAGGTCTCTTAGCGGTCCTGGGAGGCTCTTGGGCGTCTTGGGTGCCTCGGGGGCGCTTCTTGGGGCCGCTTGGGGTCCTCTTGGGGGCCTCCTGGGGGCCTTTGGGGGGCCTCTTGGGGGCCCCTTGGCGCCATATTGGGGCCATCTTGGGGCCTCTTAGGGCTTCCTGGACGCTTATTGAGGCCATCTTGGGGGACATCGTTCAAAGAAGGGGATGGCCCGACAGCTGCAAAGGGGAATGCGTGATGGCTTCTCCCCTCCATCCATTGGGCTTCCTGGGAAAGGATTCCCCGTCCCACCCTTCCTCCTCCCTCCTCCTCCTCATCCCCCCTCCTCCTCTCCCCGTTTCTTCCCTACCCCCCCCCAGCCTCCCTCCTCCCGTGCGGCTTCGCTCCGCCGTCTGCGGAGCCGAAATTGTGCGTGCAGAGGCCGCCGATGAAGAAGCCGAGGACACTACCGAGAGGTAGCGGTCTCCTTGGAAGACTGCGCCTGTCACCATTGCCCCTATTCCTTTTCTTTTCTTCATCCTCCTCCTCCTGCTCATCCTCCTCTTCCTCCCCGTTTGTTCGAGCCCATTCTGGCTTAGAGCGGGTGTTGTGCCCGTGAGGCCAGTCTTTCCTTGTGATGCTACTATCAGTGTGCAGGTTTGAGCGCTTCGTTTCGAGGTGAAGACAAGGCATCATCCCTCCGCCATGGCTCCTGGCCGCGGCGCTGCTGGTTGGCGCCCCTACATTCCTTGGGCCCAGGAGACAGGGATGGCTGGCGGCGCCCGCTCCCCAGCGCAGGGGAAGTGGACTTGCGGGCAGTGCGGATGCAGGAAGAACAAGTCGATCTTGTGGCATTGCAAGCAGCGCAAGGCGCTGCGCAAGGCCCTTCAGCAACCCGTCGGTGACTGGGGAGCGGCGCAGCGACCGAAGGTGCAGCAGCAACCCACGCTGCCCCTGCGCAGCGGGTCCCAGTTTGAACACGCTGCAGGCGGTGGAGCTGGCGCGGCGACCTCGGAACTGCGCGAGCTGGAGAACCTGGTTCGGACTCCCCAGAAGCTTGGCGACACCGAGGGAGCCCAGCGCTACCATATGCGGATTTAGGAGGAGAAGAAGCTCCTCGCCCCCGCAGAGGCGCCGCTGCAGTAGGGGGTCAACGAGGCCTGCCACGATCTCAAGTGCTGGCAGGGCAATGTCAACAAGGCCTGCGCGACCTTCGAGCATCTGCAGAAGGAGCTGGAGGTCCAGAAGCAAAAGGTCCAAGAGCACATGACGAGCCGGCGAAGGCCGAAACCACGCATGCCGACCTGGTCCGCCAGCTGCACGCCTCTGTGGATCATGGCCACCTGCCTCCCGATCTGGCCTTGGACGCGTCAGGCATCATCACTGGCATGGTGTCGGGATCCCCATCAGTATATCGAGTCTTCTCGGTGCCAGCGGTGAGTGCGAGTGGTCCACGGATGAGCGGGACGAGGCAGACCGTCGCGCGCAGCATCTGCAAGCAGCTCCCAAGGAGGCTCTCATCGCTTCGTTCGGGGAGGTCCAGAAGAAGGCCGACGCTTTCAAGCTGGAGCACCATGAGCAGCTCAAGCGGTTGCGGCCTAAGCGAGCACGAGTGGGGGCGCCGCCAGAGCATGCCGCTGGAGGGGCTGGCGCAGAGGACGCAGGAGCAGGTCGCGCTGAAGGGGGCGAAGGTACGGGCGCTCTGTCATCGGCGGCGTCTGCAACGGCTTCGGTGCCTACTTCTTCCTCTCCTGAGTCCCCCGCTGATGCCAAGCCCCGTTGCGAGCAGATTTTACATCTCCCCCCCCCCGCCGCCGGCAGCGCGACCTGGGGGCGGGGGCGTGCGCGTGCGTGCGTGCGTGCGTGCGTGCGTGCGTGCGTGCGTGCGTGCGTGCGTGCGTGCGTGCGTGCGTGCGTGCGTGCGTGTGTGTGTGTGTGTGTGTGTGTGTGTGTGTGAATGTGTGTTTGTGTGTGTGCGTGTGTGTGTGTGTGTGTGTGTGTGTGTGTGTGTGTGTGTGTGTGTGTGGGGGGGGGTAGATATTCCATCAGTTTTGCTGTCGCTCGCCTAGGGATAGGCTCCGCTGCCCCCCCCTTCCTTGGGGTTCTGACTCTAGACCTCGAGGGTATTCCGAGGGGCCCCATTTTGGTCCAGGATTGGTTTCCTACGTTTTTAGTGCTTGTCCCGTCTAGAACGCCACCCGAACCCAAGCCAGGAGAGCTATCGCTGATCACTGATTCCTGCAGTGCAACCTCGCGGGGGTTTTGTAGAGAATGGCTCGCCCATCCACAGGCCCATGCTATAGCTTGACAGGAACATCGCGCTGCCGCGGAAGAGGGCTGCAGAGAGGCCGCAGACTGGTGTCCGAGGAATGGTTGGAAAGGCTTATTCGCACCAGCCTGCCCACGGAAAGGTGAAGGCAGCTCGGGAGGCGTCGCTCGACTCGCTCGTGCGCATCTTGAATCCAATGACCTGCTTCACGGTTCGATACTGCACCCTCATTGTGCTATCGGTGGCCGGGCCCGCTTATCAGGCAGCGTCGACCGCCCGTTGTTTGCCGGCTCGGTTTACCTGTGTCACTCGGCGGGGTCGACGGCTCGGAACATCGCAATCCTCAGTGTTCCTAGGTGCAGCGGCTACATTTCAATCGAACGAGGCCGTGGTGGCAGGTGAGTTCAACATGGCACCGTATGAGACCATCGCTAGCGGTTTTCCAGAGAAGCTCTTAGGTGACGTTGTGTATCCTGCGTGCGAAGGGACTTGCAGCACGACTGGGGGCCCCAAGATCCTGGGTTATTTCGTGCTCACGCCAGGCATGTATAAGGCCACTCCGGCGTTGGATGAGATAGAGACGCCCCCACGTCACCTCTCATTGCCCTGCGCACATGACCCTTCACCCCAAGGCCTGTTCCCTGCAGGCTCTGGCTGTTGCAAGGCAGCCGCCTATTTTGTTTGAGGGACCTGTCGGCCCTGCCCGCCAGCCCCCTCGTTGGGCCTGCGTGCTCAGCGTGGCCCGCGAGCGGGTGGGCTCTCTGGCGTCTGGGGAAGCGGTCGGGGGCGCGGCCGCGAGGCTGTCCCGTCTGCATGGGCGGTGGGCCCGTCTGGCCGAGGTGGAGGTCGCTGATGTTGCGCGCGCGCCCCTCCCTTACTTCGGGGCTAGGGGTGGGATGCCTAAATGGGAAAATGTTTTCAAGGCAGATACTTGCAAAAGGTCGCCACCCCGAGCTTTTCGCCACCAAGTGGTTCCACAGCGCGGCCAGGAAGTTGGCGATGGCCGCCCCCGCGTCTAAGGAGCTCGGGTTGAATGCTGTTCTGCTGCTCGAGTCCCCCAGCGACGTTGGCCAGGGGCATGCGCGCTGCCCTGATTTAGTTCGACGGTTTCAAGAGTTTGTCAGAGGAGCGAGTGTCGACGGCTCGCTTCAGTTCTTGGAGAGGGAGGGGTGCCGTCATGCTCCGTCTCGGGTTTCGAAGCCTGGTGCCCCTGCCCTGCCCGCGGTCGAGCAGGTGCTCCAGGCTCCGAAGGATTGCGCCGTCGAGGATGGTTTCGAGGACCCCTTCGGCGTTCACGGCTTCCCTCGCACCCCCCCCCTCCGCGCCTGCCCATCGCGGTTGGAAAGAATTTGGGCCATGATTGTTTTTCATGCCCTAGCGCAGGTAGCGCTCCGCAGGACTAGCGAGTGCATCTTGCTGACCTGCCGGCGCGGCTGGACGCAGCCGCGGCTGCTGCCCAGGCCCATGTCAGGACCGAGGGCGCCGCAGATTAGAAATGGTAGCTGGCCTGACGGCCCGCGGCAGGCTGGCAACCGTTAGCGATCCTGGGTTCCTATGGAGTTGCCGCTTCGGATCCTTTGCCCTGGGCCCGCGGTCAGATTCGCTCGAGTTTATGGCGGGCGTCCGGCCAGCCTCAGTCCCTGACTGAAGATGATTCGGCCCCGGCCAGCGGAGCGGACACCCCCGCGGTAAAGCACTCCGACGACAGTGAGATTTTGGAACCCTTGTCCCTTATGTCCGTGGATTTCGGTGCGAGGTGTCTCCAGGAAGTATTATCCCAGGACGGCGTGTGGGCTGGATGATTTTCATATGCGCCATTGCAGTTGGATGGGCGAGTACCTGCTTGCAGGTACTCTGTCTCATGATCGGTGCCATGGAAATGATTTCGAACCTTCCAGCCCAACTCCGCGCGGTCCAGCCCGCGTTGCTGTTGAAGCCGCCAGGTGGCTGGAGGCCGATCGGCCTGTTATGCTCGCTATACCGCCTGCGGGGGCGATGCCGTCGCAGTTTCGCGCTCGAGCGGGAGCTGAACCACCAGCGCAGTGTCCACGCAGGGTAAGCCTTCACTTTTGCCAGTGACGCAGCGTAGAGGCAAATCTCCAGGAGGGAATCGGGCACGGCGCAGGGCCAAGTTTCAGGTACTTTTTTTGCGGGATATCTCCAAACTCCAAGAAGCGATATACTTGGGCCGTGTAGAAGAGCACTGCGTCAAGTTTGGTTTCCCCGCCCCGACATTCAGACTCGCTATAGCTGCTTTTCGATGCGCTCGGCCCGCGTGCCTCGCCGGTTACGTCACTGGCCTCTTTCATGCCACGAATGCGGTGATAGCTGGCTGCTGCTTTGCCGCCTCCTTCGTGGAGGTCTATATCCTGGAGGTTTTTTTTCTCGAATTTGAGTTTCCCATCAGGCGTGCATCTGGGTAGAGTAGACGATAGCGGGGTCTCGGCGGCGGGTTCGATTTCGCAGGTCATCGACGGCCCGAAGAAAGCCAGCGCGCAGCTATTTACCGTTATCGAGAGAAGGTCTCCCGGGAGAAGGCGGCCCCGGTGAGTTCAAGTCGGGGGGCTTCCTTATCCATGAGGGGGTTCCTGCGGGCCCTTGCGGGGCCCGTCGCGGACAGCGCCGTGAATTTGGGCGCGGGCGACTCGGGTGGAAAGCCTCGTCGGGCTGCTCGTAGGGGCACCAAATTCGGGGCCAGAGTCGACAACCTCGAGAAAAGCACCAGGAAGCTTGCCAGGCAGAGGTGCAACCTTGGGAGTTCTACTCAGCGTATTTGGATTTCAGGAGCGTTACCAGGGATCCTGTACGGGGCCGAAACCAGCGGGCTCTCAGACTTTGAGCCGGGCGAAGCCAGGCGCGAGGCAGGCAAGGTTCTACGTCCCTGGGCTTGTGGTCGTGCGCTTAGATCTATTAGGATTGCCCGCGACGAACCCGCATGGCTTGGGGCCTCGACCCCCATACTGCGTTACGCAAAGGAGGTATGGGCCCTGCAGACAAGGTCCTACCCTTTCTTCGCTGTCGTGGGCACAGCTACGCGACGGATGGGAGCTTGTCTTCAGCCAACCAGAACCTATTTGGAGAGGTGTCTCTGGGCCGGTATTCGCGCTCCGCCTCTCTTTGAAGCGCATTGGGTGGAGCGCGCGCGACTATTTCACATGCGTGAATGATTTCGGAGAAGCTTTGTTGCTCACGGCTGAGCCTCCTGCTTATTGAGGAAGATATTGCACGCGGCCTCTCTTAGGATAATGGCGCGTGAAGCTGCCCGCAAAGCTGGAGTCCCTGATCAGTGGTTGCGCTGCGATGTCGTTCGCAACCGCCCGAGGTCATCCAAGCTCACGGACATGGAACAGGGGTCCATCCGCAGTTTGGCGTGCGAAGCGCTGTGGACTCACGAGCGGGCTGGGCAGGCAGGTTATTAGGTCTCGAACGTTTGCCACTTGTGTGGGCAGCCAGGAGATCATGTGCACCACCGTCTCTGGTCGCGCCCCTGCGCAGCCTCCTTCCCTGAAGAAATTGTGAAACCTGATATTTTCAAGTCCGCCGCTGACGCGGACGTGCCCAACCCCGCCCAGGCCCCCCTGTTAACTAGAGGGTTGTTTCCCGCACCGTGGGGGCATTTTCCCCCGCCCTGCCCCTGAGGATAGTGAGTTTCAGGCCAAGATGCATTGGGACGACCCCCCCCCCTCTGTAGGCGGGATTTTTGCAGGAAGCATTTTTGTGGACGGTTGTTGCCAGAGACATGTGATCAGCGAACTTTCCGGAGCGGGCTACAGGTCGGCCGTCATTTCAGACGACGGGCGTAGGCTAGGTCGGTTTGTTGGTCCAGTCCACTCACCGTTCCTGCAGACGTCGCAGTGCACAGAGTTTGCTGGCATTGCGTGTGGAGGGGCTAGAGGTCGAAGCCCCGTGCACTTTTTATGATGACTGTGAGAACGCGGTGTCTTCAACCATCAAAGCCAGCGAGGTTCGGTTCAGCTATAAGAAGCCTCTCGCTGGCCTAATGATGTTGCTTCGGACGGGGGGTCGGTGGGTGGAAGGAGTGGCTAAAGTCAAAGCCCATCTCGACCCACTGGAGGCAGGGATTTCAGAGAGGGCGCGCGGGCAACGACGAGGCCGACAAGGCCGCCAATATAGGTGCTTCCATGCACACGCAGCCGTCGGAAGCGGAGGCCCAGCTTCTTGAATTTTCGATTTCGAGTTTCCCAGGCGGCGTGTGCATTAGCGGCCCAGGTTCTCCCGTCCTGGCCTCGTCTCGACCTCTCTGGCTGTCCTTGGATAGCCCCCCTGAAGGCTCCCAAAGAACCCAAGGGGTCTGGGCACTCCTGGGTTTTTGAGTTGATTGGAGGCCGCTTTGGTTTTTGGAAGTGTCAGCAATGCTTGATCTCTAAGAAAGCGACGGGGGTCTTTCCACAGCCTGGAGAGTGTGAGAGCGTCTCCAAGCTGGATGGGCCTTCGTTCCGGGCTTTGAAACATGAGGCTGTTTGTTTTGGTTCCGGACGGCACCTTCACTACAGCCTGCTTAAGGTGCCGCTCGCACGCCGCTGTTAGCTATGCCCGAGGGCTGGCTAAACAGCGTGGCCACCCCACGCCGAAGCAGACCTGGTCGTTTGACCAGATCAGCAAGGGCTCCCACCCGACTCGCAAGGGCGTGTCGGTGGAGCCCGCCCCGTGGAGACAGGGCGCGACGCAACACTGGGGATCCTCCCGTAATGGGATATCGCCTGGTGGTGGGCCGCCCGTCCGCCCCCCATTTCCTCTTCGCAGCTCATGCCAAAACACTCCTCATCCTTCTCTTCCTTCCTGCCTGCTCCCTCCTCCCTCCTCCCTCCTCCTCCCTCTCCTACCTCCCCCGTCCTGCATCTTCGCTCCCTCCTCCTCCCTCTGCCTACTACGGGCGCTCCACTTCCTCCTCCTGCCCCCGCTCCTCGAAAGGGTTTAGGGGTGATCGGGGATTCGACGTGGTTGCGCGTTGTTGGGTTCTCCTGTGGGCTCCCGAGGGTAGATCGTTCAAGCGAAAAGCTGGTTCGTCCAAGCGAAAACGCAACCAGCGAAAACTACATCGATAGCGAAAAGATGCTCGCTCAAGCGAAAAGCTCGTTCATTCAAGCGAAAACGCAACCAGCGAAAAGTACGTCGACATATGAAGGTATACATAGGGCGACACATAGGGACACAGGGGAGCACTGGGGGACACAGAGGGACCCATAAGGACACAGAGGGACACAGAGGTGATTGAGAGACACTGAGGGACACAGAGAACACAAAGAGACACAAACAGGACACAGAGAATCACACGAGGGCACATACAACATAGGAAAGCAACAAGAAACACAGAGGGGGACTAAAAGAGACAGCGAGACACAAAAGGACGGGACACAGAGAGACACAGAGAGACACAGAGGGACACAGAGGGACACAGAGAAACACTGAAGGACCCAGGGAAACACAGAGGGCCACTGAGGGACACAGAGAGACCCAGAGGGACACAGAGAGACACAGAGGGACACAGAGAAAAACAGGGACACAGAGACACAGAGAGACACAGAGGGACACAGAGAAACACAGGGGCACAGAGGGAGACAGAGAAACGCAGAGGGACACAGAGGGGTACAGAAGGACACATAGGGACACAGAGGGACACAGAGGGACACCGAGGGGCACAGAGGGACACAGAGGGAACCAGAGGGACGCATAGGGACACGGAGAGACACAGAGGGACACGGAGGGACACAGGGGGACACATAGGGACACAGAGAAACACAGAGGGACACATATAGGGACACGGAGGGACATGCACAGAGAAACAAAGAGGGACACAGGCAGAGGGGCACAGCTGGGAACCGGGATTTCGTGCTTTTCCAGGCTCGATCTCTCCAAAATCCCCGTTCCCGCCATCCCGGGGACGCCGCTCGTGGGGGCGGGGGCTCGGGGCACCTGGCCGAGCCGGGAGCCAGGATTTCTGCTGTAGATCCAGGTTCCCGCCATCCCGGGGAAGCAGCTCGCGGGGGCGCGAGGGCGGGGCGGCCGACAGAGCCGGGAACCGGAATTTCCGGTTCCTGCAGGCTCGATCTCTCCAAAATCCATGTTCCCGCCATCCCGGGGAAGCCGCTCGTGGGGGCAGGGGCGGGGCGCTTGACAGAGCTGGGAACCGGGATTTCAGGTTTACCCAGGCTCGATCTCTCAAAATCCCAGTTCCCGCCATACCGGCGATCGCCGCTCGTGGGGGCGGGCGCTCGGGGTCACTGACAGAGCCGGGAGCTGGGATCTCGGGCTTATCTGGCTTCGATCTATCCAAAATCCCGGTTCCCGCCATCCCGGCGGTCGCTGGCCGCGGGGTCCCGCGGGGGCGGGGCGCATAAGCCAGAGTTACGGAAGGTGCTCGCAAACAATAAAGCCAACAAGCTCCGCACACGGATCCCCTGTGGCCCTGCGCGCACTCCACCGAGCTTTCTGTGGGCGATTTTGCGAAGGCGTCCCGAGCGAGGGCGCGGGAGGCACCGGGAATTGGGATTTCCGCGCCTTCCAGGCAGGTGCTCTACAAAATCCCCGTTCCCGCCAGCCGCGGGGCGCAGGGGCGTGGAAATCTTGGCTCCTGGCGCCCCTGCGCCCCGCGGCTGGCGGGAACCGGGATTTTGGTTGGCTCCTGGGGGGGACGTGGGAAAATCCCGGTTCCCGCCAGCTGCGGGGGACGTGGAGATCTTGGTGGCCCTGGCGCCGGCCCCTGCGCCCCGCGGGTGTCGGGGATTGCGGTGAGCTCCTGTCTGGAACGTGCGGGAATCCCGGTTCCCGCCACCTGCGGGGCGCAGGGGCATGGAAATCTTGGCCCCATGGCGCCCCTGCGGCCCGCGGCTGCCGGGAGCCAGGATTTTGGAGGGCTCCTCTCCGGAGCTTGTTGAAATCCCGTTTCCCCCCTTAAGGCGCAGGGGCGTGGAAATCGGTCCCCGCATGGCGCCCCTGCGCCCCGCGGCTGGCGGGAGCCGGGATTGCTGTGAGCTCCTGCCAGGAACGCGTAGGAATCCCGGTTCCCGCTAGTCGCGGGCGCGGGGGCAGCCGAGCCGCGATTCCCTGCTCCACGCTGCGTGCTCGAGAAGGAAAGGTAGGAGTAGTAGGAGGAGGAGGAGGAGGAGGAGGAGGAGGAGGGGGAGGAGGAGGAGGAGGAGGAGGAGGAGGAGGAGGAGGAGGGGGAGGAGGAGGAGGAGGAGGAGGAGGAGGAGGAGGAGGAAGAGGAGGAGGAGCAGGAGGAGGAGGAGGAGGAAGAGGAGGATGAAGAGGAGGAGGAGGAGGAGGAGGAGGAGGAAGAGGAGGAGGAGAAGGAGAAATGGGAGGTCGAGGGGGATGGCAGAGAAGAGGGGGCCACGAAGAGGATCAGGGAAGAACCCGCAGCGCGTCATCCCTTTTCGCGCGCATGCGCCGAAAGGATTTCGCTCGAACGGCCGCAGTTTTCGCGCCTTTCGAAATCCTTGTCAGCACTGCGCTTCGGGAGAGGTTCGGGAGTCGACGCGGGGAGGAGGAGGAGAAGGGAGGAGGCATGGGTTGAGGTACCAAGGTTAACCAGGCGTGCTGTTCATGTACCTGGCGGGCGTACACTCCAAGGTACTCTTCTATTCAGTCCTTGTCGTCCTTCTTTGCCTGCTGCGCCCGCCAGGCTACTTTGTGTGACCCTTGGTCTAAGTCGGTCTCTCCATTTGCTCAGAACGCCACGATCATGATATCCATGTTCGCGCAACGTCAAAAAAGGCGGAGGCTGAGGGAAGGAGGGGGAGGAGGGAGGAGGAACAGTGCAAACCCAAGACGCATCAAAACTGTTAACATACACCCTCCCTCCAAGTTTCCTCGATATAGGTCTGTACACGAAGTTCTTCTCATTGTGGGAAATGGCCCATTCGAAGACAGCCCTCTGATAACTTCAGTCGCGCCAAATCACCATTTGTGGGACATCAGCACTGCGAATTAACATTACTCTTGCGTCCTGACAATCTTGAACCCGTCAAAAACAACATCTTTGGGAGTTCCGCGCCGCGATTCAATGTGACCGTTGCGTCCGGACAATCCGAAGTCGTACCAGAACACGAGCCTTGGAACTTAAATCGCACGGATCCTCGAACGTGTTGCAAGTTGTGAAGGCGCGTGTGCGTGCCACTAACGCGAGAGCCACAGTTTGAAAAGGAGCCGCGCGCCACCAGCGAATTTGTTGCACACTTTCAAGACGAACGTGCACGGCTCTAAAGCAAGAGCCACATTGTATGAAAGCCGCCCGCCTTCCACCTGTGTGACTGCTGCAAAATTTTCAGACGGCACTAAGTCGAGAGCCATTGAAATGGATCCACCCTTGAAGCTGCTACCAGCGTCAAGCTTCAGGATCAAAGATGGTCAGCATGTCTCAGGCGAAGCGCCCAGCCCGCCTTACCGACACGCCTGGGAGTGCGACAGGGAGGAGATATTCATAAGGAAAAGGGATGGAGGAGGAGGAAGAGGAGGAAGGTGGGGAGTAGGGGGGGAGCAGGAGGAGGAGAGAGAGAGGCGGTTGCTGCCTTCACGATGTTTGCCCTCTCTGCTTTTCCTGGGGGGTCCCTCGTGGCAACGGCGGGGTGCAGCTCGGGAAACCAGTCTGGACGATGTCCTCAAGGGAGGCCAAAGTCAAGTAAACGCAAACATGGAGCACGGCGGGTGGAATAGCGACGACGGGTCCCACTTCCGTATAGAATCAGCGCGCTCCGTCGCCAAATCCAGCGGCATTGAGGGGTCCTTGGATCAATTCGGAGGGGATTCGGGCGGTGTCGCGAGAGCAACTCTCGGCGGGCGGTTTCCTCGCTGCCTGGGTTTCTGCGGACAATTTGTTCTGCCTGGCCCCGGGGGGCCATCAGAGAGATAATCCGCGACGAAGAGCTGACCCCGGGGGTGGTTTCGGGAGCGCCGAGGCCTGCGTCGCGAAAGTGTTTCTCAGTAGAACCCCCAAGATCAGGAGGGAGGAGGAAGGATGCAGGGGGGGGTAAGATGATGCTGATGATGATGATGATGATGATGATGATGATGATGATGCTGCTGCTGATGATGATGATGATGATGATGATGAGGAGGAGGAGGAGGAGGAGGAGGCAGAGGAAGAGGAGGAGGAGGGGGAGGAGGAGGAGGAGAAGGAAGAGGAGGAGAAGGAGGGGGAGAAGATTCCTCGACACGGACCCTGCAAGCCCGGAATATCACCCAATGAGCCCCCAGGGCCGCTCTGCAAATTTCCCGCGGGCCCCGCCTGGCCGCCACGACCCGCACGAGCTCCCAAGAGGTCCCAGTGGCTTGCTCTTCAGGGGGCCTCCCCTGGAGCCCAACGGCACGGCCCGAGGTGTCACAGACAATTCACTTACACCTCTCCTTGGAGTTTGGCCATACGCGAAAAATCACTGTTCGGTCGGAGCTCCTACACAAGGGCTTTGATTGGGTCGCGCATTCGAGGAGGGCAACAAAAACATAGGCGCTTGCTCTTTCATCCCGGCTTTCCCCCCTAGATGCGCGTGCGCGCGCACGTGAACAGCATCCCGCGCCTGTTTTTCCGGTCGTTGGAGGTCCCAGTGGCTTGCTCTTTCACCCCGGCTTTCCCCCCGTAGATGCTCGTGTGTGCGCGCACGCGCACGTGAACAGCAAACCGCTTCTGTTTTTCCGGCCGCTGCGGGCCTCGCTGGGGCTTTCCAGAGCACTGGCAGCGCTTATTTTGCCGCCCCCTGCTCTTCGTCGTGCGTCCCTCTCTGGTAGCGAACGTACATTCGTTCATCCTTATCCGCCCTCTTCCTCCACATCCTATGTACTCATCTTCCGAATTATCCTTCATCTCCCTCCCAAACTCAACGAATTCCCCCGAGCCCAAGGGAGCCCCTGAAAACAACGAAGCACAACACATTGGAGGCCCTTCAAACCTGCTCCCACAACCACCTTTCGGCCACCTCGAGCCCCCCGCTTCCCCAGCCGTTCCGCCCAGTTGTGGCAGCAGTCAGAGAGTGCAGAACTTGTTTGAAGACGAGCTATCTGGATTCCATGAGCGTCCGCTCCGATCCCTCCTCCCCCCCTCCCCCCCCTTCGCCCGAGGTCCAAGGGAAGAAAAACCACCCAGACCCGATAATTATCGTTTGCTGAACAGCTCCAGTCGTTTACTGAACATCCCTGCCCTGCTCGATTCCTTCTTTGAGTGCGTTTACAAAACGGCCTCGCTTGTCGGGGTGCTTCTTATGGGCGGTGGATTTTGTGCCTTCTGGAGGTGATGCAGCGAGCACACAGCTTCCGCGAGCTTCGCCTGGGCCGCCCCAGCACCTCCTCGGCGCCGGAGACGCACAGGCGCGACGCCCCTCGGCCGCCTCCTCCCGCAGGCGGCAACAGTGACGACGACAAGGACGACGACGACGACGTCGACGACGACGACGACGACGACGAGGACGAGGACCACGACGACGACGACGAAGACAACAACGACGAGGACGAGGACGACAAGGACGAGGAAGACAACGAGGACGACGACGACAACGACGACGACGACGATGACGACGGCGGGCATTACAAACACACACACACACACACACACACGCCAGGTAGCCTCGCCGAAGCAATGGGCCATCGGCGCCCCTGGATGCATGTGTTTCGAGGCCTCCCAGATGGGGTCCGAGTGGATGGGGTCGGAGGATCGCGTCGCATCGCCGATGCTTCGGCGATGCGGCTAGATGTGGAGCCCGCGTTTCCCCCCCCACGCCGACGTCACCGATGCATCGCCGACGTCGCCGATGCACCGCCGATGCATCGGCGATGCATTGGCGATGCGGCGCGATCCTCCGACCCCATCTACTCGGACCCCATCTAGGAGGCCTCCAGTGTTGCCTCCCCCCCTGTGGGCTAACCATTCGCCCCCATCGTCGCCTCCAATCCTCCCCTTGCCCGCCCTTGCTTGGACGCATGTTCCGACGCCGCAGGTGGAAGGCAGCCACGGGCAACAGTGATACTCCACGGTTGATTAAGGCTCGGGGCTGAAGGCTCATAGGGATCGCGTCTTTTGGCTTTGCTTTGTGCGAGGCATGCCGCTTCAGCCTTCGCGCTCGACGGCTTCGCATATAGGCATGGGGCTTCTAGCGCTTTCGGATTATCGGGCTTTGGGGGTCCCCCCTCCCCGCGTTCATCGCCGTCGCCGGCAGCCCCCTGGGCGCGATGGCTCCGCATCCCGCCGTTTTGTCTCCAGGGGTCGAGGTCAGCTCGAGATCGGCCACGTCGGCCCCTCCGCGGGCGCCCCGGGCGCCGCCGAGGCACCACGCCGCGCCGCTATCGACGCGGATGACCGCGCGGCGCCGCCGTTTGCGCGAGCGCCGCTGTTTGCGCGAGCACCGCGTGCGTGGACAAGGCGAAGCTGCGCGGCATCTGGCAGGATTTCTCGGGGTGCCCTGCAACGCCCGCCCGCCGGCGAACCGCCTCATCATTGCAGGCGCGAGCGTCGACGAGCTCGAGACACTAACCCTCGTCAACGTTGCACGTCGACGCGGGGCGCGCCCCGAAGCCACCCGCGCGCCACGTCGTTAGTCATTCATCTTTCGCCGGCCTTTGGTGAGCCCAAGCTGGCGAAGTTCACCTGCCTGCGCCTCTTGCGCGCAGCGATCCGGTGGCTCCGACGACTCTTTATTCTGGCGCCCCTTGACCGACGACCTGGCCTCGCTGGGTTCTGCCAATGTCGGGGGCGGAACAATTGCGCGCTCGACGGCGCGCTCTGGGGGGTCGCGCAGCGATTCGCCAAGTGCGACGATAGCGCGCGGGCGACCGACTGCGGCTGGGCGCGCGTTGGACCCCGCCGCGAAGCGCGCCTCGAATGCCGCGCCAACTGCAGGGCGCGGCCGCTCACAAACGCGCCAGAGCCTGCCGGGCGAGCGCGCGCCCTGGGATGCGCGCGGAGCCAGGATGCGGGAGCCCAACCACCTGCCGGTGGCGAGCCCACTGTGTTGTTACCGCTTCTTCTGCTTTCTCAAGGACCTGATGCATCTTCTCGAGCGCAAAGGCGTGGCGCCCGCAGTCTTTGGGCCAGTGCCGGCGCGGTCGCTGTCCGACGCGCGCGTCGGGGCGAACCGGGGGGGGCGCCTGGCGACCATCAATAATTGCGGGTGGCAGTTCTACGGCGGCAACCCACGCGCCCCACCGTCTCCCGAAAATATTGCTCAGTGGCTGCGCCAGGAATGGATGAAGAACCCTCGCGGGGCTTGCCTATGAGACAGCGAACGTCAGAGACGAAGCTCCTCTCTTCAAGGCTCTTGCCCACCATTGGTGCACGACCACGCAGGCGAGGGCCAGGAAATTCGGATCCTGACATCTGCGCTGGACGACCTCTACAACGTCGTTCGAGGCGCCGAACTCCGTCTGGTGCGACTCTGGCTCGCGTGAAGCATATCTGCCTGGCGTTTGGCAGCGCATGCCAGCGCTTGCACTAGATGCCGCGCCGCTGTGACGCATGTGCCTGTGCGGTCACGCCCAAGACGCACAAGGTGCAGCATCTGTTGGTGGCCTGCATCAACCCTGCGAGGGTCCAGGTGTATGCCGAAGAATCAATCCACGATGGGGTCGGTGACTAGGACGTAAAGGGAGCTCCAATCACGAGCGGTACTAGCAGAACGTGCAGAAGGGCATCCTCGTGAAGCAGGTCACGGGCGTGCTCCCGGGCGTGCTCCTGCGCTTTGAACTGGATCTCTGAACCAGCCCTTCGCCGTGGAAGCAAAACTGCGAACGTGGAGTAGTCCGCGAGCGCGGAGTGGCGCGACGACGACGAGAAACGCAAACGCCCTGCATTTCACTTATTACACCCCGTTCCCTGACGACGAGGACTACCACGACGTTTGCGAAAGGAAGAGGAAGGATGGGGGAGGGAGGAGGAAAAGGAGGAAGAGGAGGAGGAGGAGGAAAAGGCGGACGAGTAGGACGCGTATTATGTCGAAGCACGTACATATAAGTCAGAGCCTGTACTCAAAGGTGGGCGAACACATACGTATATTTCTGAAACAGTTACGAAACTTACTGCTAAATAGATATAGTTTGATTTTGCCCACGTATAACGAAGAACATTTACATATTAGTAACGTATTGTCGGTGTAGTGCTTTGCTGCATGAAGGGAATCAGTTGTAGTTTCAGACAGTTACTGTGATGCAACTACAAACATGCGACACGAGCATTCGGTTAATGATACTTGAGCGCAGCACAGAACATAAATTATTTACGCTTCGCGTATCCCCACCAGCCCATCTCACAACAGCAACTCTTGCGAAGCATGCCGACAGTCGTGTTTTTCAGGCGTGTGTCCGCTTGGCCCCGCATATCTCCCCTGTTACTCCTTCCTCCCGCCTCCTTGTACATCCTCCTTGTGGGGGGAGCGGGAGAAGGACGGGGCGGAGGAGGAGGGAGAGAAAGCGCTCCTCGTGGTTTGAGTCGTTTGGGGTTTCTCGTCCTGGTGTGAGTCGTTCGGGCCCTTCTTCCTGGTGTGAGTCGTTCGGGCTCTTCGTGGTGTGAGTCGTTCGGGCTCTTCGTCCTGGTGTGAGTCGTTCGGGCTTCTCGTGGTGTGAGTTGTTCGGGCCCCTCATCCTGGTGTGAGTCGTTCGGGCCCCTCCTCCTGGTGTGACTCGTTCGGGCTCCTCGTGGTGTGAGTCGTTCGGGGCCCTCGTCGTGGTGTGAGTCGTTCGGGCTCCTCGTGGTGTGAGTCGTTCGGGCGCCTCGTCCTGGTGTGAGTCGTTCGGGCCCCTCCTTCTGGTGTGAGTCGTTCGGGCTCTTCGTGGTGTGAGTCGTTCGGGCCCCTCGTCCTGGTGTGAGTCGTTCGGGCTCCTCGTGGCGTGAGGCGTTCGGGCACCTCGTCCCCTTTTGGGGCGTCTTGGGGGCCTCTTGGCGGCCCCAGGGGCTTCTAGGAGCGTCTTGGGTGCCTTGGGGGAGCCTCTTCGGGCCTCTTGGGAGCCTCTTGGAGGCCGTTTGGGGCGTCTTGGGGGCCTCTTGGCGGCCCCAGGGGCTTCCAGGAGCGTCTTGGGTGCCTCGGGGGAGCCTCTTGGGGCCTCTTGGGGGCCTCTTGGGGGCATCTTGGGGGCCTCTTGGAGGCCTCTTGGGGGCCTCCTGGGGGCCTCTTGGGGCCATCTTGGGGCCTCTTGGTGCCTCCTGGGCGCTTCTTGGGGCCATCTTGGAGGGAATCGATCAAAGAAGAGGGGAGCTTTAATGAGCGCTGCCCCCTCAGAAGGGCAAAATGAGCCCAACACCTTCGTAAAAACAATGATTTTGCTTGGAAAGAAGAGGGGAGCTTTAATGAGCGCTGCCCCCTCAGAAGGCGAAAATGGGGCCAAAACCGTAGTAAAATCAATGATTTTGGCTTCAAAGAAGAGGAGAGGGTTTTTTTCTGCCCCCCCCGTCGGGGCCAGAATCCTGGTGAGGGGTGTCGTTTTTTTAGCCCTCCCAGGAGTCGAAAATGACCCCCCCAACGACCCGCGAAAGGACCTCTCCAGGCCCAGGGGGAGGGGGGAGGGGGAGGGGTAAACCCCTCCCCGAAGGGGAAGAAGGGGGTTGAGAACAGAGCGGGCTCTCTAAACCACTCACGCCCAAAGGGCTGGTGGGACTAGTATATCCAGCTGCCAGGTTGGGGGGGATCGTAGCCAGGGCCGCGATCTCTCCCGAGATTTCACGGCCTTTTGTTCAGGACGTACCGTGGCCCTCCCGGGGCCGCGCGCACTTCGGGCCGCGGTTTCCGACCCCCCTTTTTGGGCGCCCGCCTCTTGGACCCGGACGGAGTTCTGAAAGAATACATTTGGAAGCCTCGAGGTTGACACCAACGCCAATATCGCCGTATCGCGTGCGTGCCCCCACCGAGGCAAGATGATTTCGGCAATGGCGGTAATTGTCTTTTTGGTGGCCGAAGGACAACCACCACCGCCACATTGTACGATCATCCTCCCTTGGTGAAATCACCCCCCCGTTTTGGTGTCGGCGTCACTTTCCAGGCCTCCAGTAGATTGGTTCCAGAATATCCCCGGACGCTTTCGGAGCGCCCTGGGGCGCCGCCCTGAAAAGGCCGCGGCGCCCGAGGCATCCTCCAGGGCCGCCAGATCCCTGAGATGTTGGATTGGTTCTCGCCCGAGTTTCTCCTCGACTTGGCTTCGTCGCACAATGGGGGGCCATGCCAAGAAACACCCTGCTTGCCTTCAGGGCGCCCTGGGTTTCTTGGGTATCGATGTTTTTGCCGTGGAAAGCGTGACGTGACCGCGCCAAAAAGTCCATGGACGTCCTGGGGTCTCAGGGCTGGGTTTCTTATGGAACGCTTCTTGTGGATTGGCCTCCACAGCATGGGCCGCCGACACGCCCAAGGGGCGGGGCGAGGGAGTGGCCCCCTTCCAGGGGACGAGCGGCTTCTGCGATGTGCGGGCAAGGCTCTTGCCTATAGCCGCTGCGCCTTGGAGTTCTGGGCCCCTTGCCTCCGATGCCAGAGGCGCCGTGGACTGGGTGCCAGCGGTAAGCCGTCAACCAGGTTACTGCCGGGGGACCTCGTAGAGCTCTTTACACACATAGGAGTGCTGTCAATGCAGACAGTAAGCTCCCTGGAATATCAGCTTGAAGGCTAGAGGACATCATTTTTCGGGTTCTAACGACAGTCGGTTGCAAAAGTATGTTGGAGTAATTCCAAGCGAACAGGAGAGAAGTTTATCCACTTGCGAAGAAACTCATTGCCACACGAATCGCCACATTTCTGTGAACCTCCAAAACAATATTTGGTTTCATGAAAAACGTTCATTGTTAACGTTGGTCCATGGTAGTGGATCTAAGGAAATGTTGCAGATACAGACCTGAGACTTTCACAAGCAAACGCAGCGTGATCCAATGTTGCGTAGAATTATCTTCAATTCTAAAATGAATTATCGGATTTCCCTGGATAACGAGAATGGCAGAGTTCAATTGTTCGTATCAGCTTGAAGTCGGTTCCACCAAGTGCTTCGATAGTCATACTGACTGCAGCTACGGACTTGAGAATCACACTGGCGGACGCGGCATAGCCTGCTACAAGTGCGAGACATCTTGGCTCTCAAAACGGATTTTCAAATCTCTCAGGATCTTCATCAAACCGATCCCAGGTTGTCGCATTGTCCGCCCTGGCCGGGTCGGTCAACTAGCTCCACCCCGCGCCGGAATTCCTCTAGCTCATCGTACCGAGGAGTTCTACGAGGTATGTGGATCCAACAATGTCGCCCCTCGAGGTCAGATGCTTCCCCATAGCCGCTGCGTCTAGGAGTTTCGGGCTCCCTGCCGCCGATGCCAGAGGCGCCGTGGATGTGGATCCAACAATGTCGCCCCTCGAGGTCAGATGTTTACCCATAGCCGCTGCATCTTAGAGTTTCGTGCCCCCTGCCTCCAATGCCAGAAGCGCCGTGGATGTGGATCCAACAATTTCGCCCCTCGAGGTCAGACTGTTACAGATAGCCGCTGCGTCTAGGAGTTTCGGGCTCCCTTCATCCGATACCAGAGGCGCCGTTGATGTCGTTCCAACAGTTTCGCCCGTCGAGGTCAGATTGTTGCCCGTAGCCGCTGCGTCTCGGAGCTCCGGGCTCTCTGCCGCCGATGCCAGAGGCGCCGTTGATGTGGATCCAACAATATCGCGTTTCGAGGTCAGATTGTTACCCGTAGCCGCTGCGTCTCGGAGTTCTTGGCTCCCTGCCTCTGATGCCAGAGGCGCCGTGGATGTGGATCCAACAATGTCGCGCCTCGAGGTCGGATTTTCACCCGTAGCCGCTGCGTCTCGGAGTTCTGGGCTCCCTGCCTCCGATGCCAGAGGCGCCGTGGATGTGGATCCAACAATGTCGCGCCTCGAGGTCGGATTTTCACCCGTAGCCGCTGCGTCTCGGAGTTTCGGGCTCCCTGCCGCCGTGGATGTGGATCCCACAATGTCGCGCCTCGAGGTCAGATTGTTACCCGTAGCCGCTGCGTCTCGGAGTTCCGGGCTCTCTGCCGCCGATGCCAGAGGCGCCGTGGATGTGGATCCAACAATGTCGCGCCTCGAGGTCCGATTGTTACCCGTAGCCGCAGCGTCTAGGAGTTTCGGGCTCCCTGCCGCCGATGCCAAAGGCGCCGTGAATGTGGATCCAACAATGTCGCGCCTCAAGGTCAGATTGTCACTCATAGCAGCTGCGTCTAGGAGTTTCGGGCTCCCTGCCGCCGATGCCAGAGGCGCCGTGGATGTGGATCCCACAATGTCGCGCCTCGAGGTCCGATTGTTACCCGTAGCCGCTGCGTCTCGGAGTTCCGGGCTCCCTGCCACCGATGCCAGAGGCGCCGTGGATGTGGATCCCACAATGTCGCCCCTCGAGGTCCGATTGTTACCCGTAGCCGCTGCGTCTCGGAGTTCTGGGCTCTCTGCCGCCGATGCCAGAGGCGCCGTGGATGTGGATCCAACAATGTCGCGCCTCGAGGTCATAGCCGCTGCGCCTTGGAATCCCAGCCTCCGATGCCAGAGGCGCCGTGGACATGGATCCAATAATTTCGCGCCTCGAGGTCACATGTTTATCCATAGCCGCTGCGTCTTGGAGTTTCGGGCCCCCTGCCTCCGATGCCAGAGGCGCCGCGGACATGGATCCAATAATTTCGTCCCTGGAGGTCAGATTTTCACCCGAAGCCACTGCGTCTCGGAGTTTGGGCCCCCTGCCTCCCATGCCAGAGGCGCCGTGGATATGGATCCAACAATTCAACAATGTCGCGCCACGAGGTCAGATGTTTATCCAAAGCCACTGCGTCTTGGAGTTTCGGGCTCCCTTGAGGAGGACTAAGAAAAGGAAGTACGCACAGTGGGAGACGATGTGCGATGGAGTAGGGTTCGGATGCTGTCCACCGTTCCCGACCTCGTGGTGCTCCGCGTCATCCTTCTCTTGCTCATCTCATGCCAGTCCTTCACCTCTTCCTGCGGCTCCTGCGCATCTTCCTCTTCCTCTCACTCCCCCGTGGTCCCCCAATCTGCATTGTCATCCCTGTCGTCCTGTCCCTCGTCGTCGTCGTCGCCCTCCTCCTCCTATTCGTCCTCGTGCTCATCCCACTCTGCCCCTCCTCGTCGGCGTCATCCGCCATCGTTCTGTCTCCTCCCCCCTCTCCTGAGCATAACGTTTCTCTGATGTTTGCATGTCTCATGTCATTATCATTGTGCTCAAATTGGTGTTTGTTTTATTAATGTGTACAGTATGTTGATGCATTATGATCCTTACCTTGCTACTTCTTCCCATTTTCCTCCTCCCGCCCATCCTTTTCTACATCATGTTCCTCCTCCCTCTCCTCTACCTCAGCATCTCCCCCTTCCGCCTCCTCATCGCCCTTTCCCCTTATTATGGTCATCCTCTGTGAATAATCCCTTCTCCCCCTTTTCACCCCCGCCCTGCCCGTCCTCACCCTCACTCTCGTCATTCTTGTGATCCCCCTTCCAATCCTCCTGCTCCTGCCCCTCCTTCTACCGCCCCTCCTCCTCCTCCGCCTCCTCCTCCTCCTCTCCTCCTCCTCCTCTCCTCCTCCTCCTCCTCCCTTTCCCCGACATCATCTTACTCCTGCTCCTACCTCTCGTGCTCCTCCTCTTCCTCCTCATCCTCCTTTCCTCCTCCCCATCCCTGTCCCGCTCATCCTGTTTGGCCCTCTCCTTCACCTCCTCTCCCTCATCTGTCCCTACGATGCTATTTGGCTTCAAGGGCTCGCTGCTGCAAGTGGTACGGTCACGGAAGCAGCCGCAATCTCCATACATTGCAAAATCCAGCCAACACCGCCTGTGTCTGCGGCGGCAGCCTCACGGCAGCCACATTCTCTCTTTGCGGCGCGCGGAAGGGGGCAGGGTGCGGGGAGGAGGCGCAGGGGTGCATTTCCCTCGGAGGGCAGAGTCAGGCGATCGCAAACACGGATCAAGGGGGCGTGGATTAGCGACGGATCCCGCCTCCATGGGAAATCGCGGATTCCCGCCGCCGACCAGGGCGGCACCGGCCGCATTTTGGGGAGGGCACCTCCCCCGATCCGTGGATTCGGCGACCGCGCGCCAAATGCACGGATCGGTGATTCATGTCTGCGCGCCCCCGAAGGAGGCCCACCAGATGGGACGGGCCCTTGCCGGGCGTCTCAACTAGGGCAGGGCGTCTGTTGGTTGACTTCGGCGGGCCGCCCCACTCGCCCTTAAAGCCCTCTTCGAGAGGGCCAGGGCGAGGCGAGGCGCCGGTCGAGCGTCCCCGAGGGACGGCCCTGCAGAAGCCTGGCGGGGGCGCCGGGGCGCCGAGAGTTCAGTACGTGATGAGCTTGTGATGTTTGATTCGCCCAGGCGCGTACCAGAGATCATGCACAAGACGTGCCAGCTCGAGAAAAGAATACGACCTTGATAACCGCGCTTCGTGGCCGTGTGGCCTGGGCGAGAAGACAATCGTGCTTCGTGGCCGTGTGGCCTGGGCGAGAAGGCAATCGCGCGCGCCGGCTCCGTGGCGGGCGCTCTCTGGCCGTGCCGCTCGGGAAGCGACACATTACAAGATACTTCTACGAAACGTTCGGGTCAGACGCACGCCTCCGAGCGTCGTGAGGTCTTCGCGACGCGAGGGGGTCTGATCTGGGCCTCCCAGATGGGGCTGGAGTAGATCGGGTCGGAGAATCGCGCCGCATCGCCGATGCGCCGGCGATGGGGCTCGATGTGGAGCCCGATGTTCGCCACGCCGACGGCGGCGATGCATTGCCGACGTCGGGTGCAAGCCTTCCCCCTCCCCCTCTCCCCTTGTGCGCGCCGCAAAAGCTACTCGGACCCTTTAGGAGGCCTCGAGTGCGTACTATGAGCACGCCGCTGCCCCGGCAGCAGCGCCGCGCCGGCGCGGCGCCCCCAGCGGCGCTGCTGGCGTTCCTGGCCGCGCTCCAGGGCTGCGCTGGCGAGCGCGCCCAGTGGGCGTGGCCGTGGCATGGCGAGGACCGGGCACGGCTCCGGAGGAGGAGGAGTGGGGATGAGGAGGTGGAGGAGGAGGAGCAGAAGGAGGAGGATGAGGAGGAGGGGGGATGAGGAGGAGGAGGAGGAGGAGGAGGAGGAGGAGGAGGGGGTGGGAGGAGGGGGAGGAGGGGGGGAGGACCTGAGGTAATATGGATTTGGGCGCCTTGAAATCAGTTTCTTGAAGCCGCCACCTTGAAGATCACGGTGGCTCCATGGTGCGGAGGAAGGGGAAGAAGAAGAAGAAGAAGACGAGGAAGAAGACGAGGAAGAGGAGGACAAGGAGGAGGAGAGAGTTTCCGGGTTCGAGGCCTTCGGATCACGGTGGCTCCATGGTGCGGAGGAAGGGGAAGAAGAAGAAGAAGACGAGGAAGAAGACGAGGAAGAGGAGGAGAAGGAAGAGGAGAGAGTTTCCGGGTTCGAGGCCTTCGGAGGTTTCCGTCGATTTTCGGCTGATTTCCAGGGGGGCACGTCAAAACGCTGACATAGGGACCATTTTGGGTTCACGAGTTGCTCTGGTTTTCGGGCCTGTCCTCGGTATCGTTTCACCAATCCCCATCCCCATCTCCTTCGAGACCCCCACCAAATTACCACCCCAGTTGGGGATACACCCCTCGAAACCCGAAGGAAACGGCCTACATCCCCATCTAGGGGGGTAAATCGGCCAGTGGGGCCCAGGCCACGTCGCTGGGGATGGGGGTTCGGATAAACGATGCTCAGTTCCTTAGGTTCACGTCGTGCAGCCTGTTCGTGGCCGAGAGTCGCCTTTGCCATCCACCCATCCTGAACTCCTCTCTCCCCGTTGTCTGCAGCCTTTTTGGTTCAAGCCCCCCGCCGTAGCCGAGCTGCTCGTATATGGGATCAGAGTAGATGGGGCTGACGGATTGCTCCGCATCGCCGATGAATCGGTGATGCGTTTTGATGTGGAGCCCAAATCCTCCACGCCGACGTCGCCGATGCATCGCCGATGCATCGCCGATGCATCGCCGATGCATCGCCGATGCATCGCCGACGTCGCCGATACATCGCCGATGAATCGGTAATGCATCGACGATCTATTGTGACCCCATCTTGAAGGCTTCCATTGTGTCGCGCCAGTCGGCCGCCATCCTGCCGGTCGGGCGCTCGCTCTAGTCATGGCCGCGGCCGTAAGGCATCCTTGTTAGACCCGTACTCCGCCAGGCCGCAGTTTTCCCGAGATCGACAATTCGTTCTAATCACGCGCGCGGGGTGTTTTCTGATCATCGCTAACCGACATTACAGTCGGCCCAGATTAGGTCGACCCTGCCAAATCAAGGGTACCCTTGTGTCCTGTGTCTCGCGACCCATGCTTCCCACATTCCTGTGGCAATGTGGCCCTAGGAAGGGTCTTGTGTCCTCTTGCGTGTCCTGTCCAATCGAGACCGACTGTACACGATGGAGTCGATGACGGGAGAGCCACAGGAACTCTCGGAGGTTCGCGCTGAACTCTCGGGTCGGCGCTCGGTGCCCTCTCCCCACGTCTCCTCCCTGGCGCGTTCCGCGTTCTGGGGCGGCGCTGAGCACTAGCTCCAAGAAACCGCGCGAGCGTCCGAAAGTTTTGCTTCGCCTCCTCGTCCTCCTCTTCCTCCTCCTCTTCCTCTTCCTCTTCCTCCACTTCCTCCTCCTCCTCCTCCTCCTCCTCATCCGCCTCCTCCTCCTCTTCCTCCTCCTCCTCGGCGCCGCAGCCCCTGCGGCGGAGGGCGAGGTGCTCGGGCGGGACGGGGCGCAAGGTTTGTGCCGGTGCTGGCGGTTCGTCAACGAGAGGGGCCGGTGGCGGTGCACGGTGGGTGTTGGCGAGGATGCAGGTGTTGCTGGTCACGGCTGCACAAAGCCGTGGTGATGGGCATGGTGGAATGGTGATGGTGATGAGGGTGGTGATGATTCGCAGACGGTTCTTCTGTGCGTCCACGAGTGGAGCCGGTGATGGTGAACGGTGGGTGTTGTGAGGATGCAGGTGCGGATGGTGGTGCTGCAGGTCACAGCTGCACAAAGCCATGGTGATGGGCACGGTGGAATGGTGACGGTGATGAGGGTGGTGATCGTTCGCAGGCGGTTTTTCTCCTCCAGCCATCGACTTTTCGACGAAAGATGCGAAACCGCTCAGGAAAGGAGTGAAACCCTGGGATTCACCCCAAGGGGGCTATTCGGATGCACCCCTGTCGAGGATGCACCCCCCCAGTCGTATGCCCCAGGGGTAGGCCCCAAATTTCAGTTCCATTTGAAAAACTTCCAGAGCCTGGCATAGGGGTCGACACATCCCCTGTCAGGATGATGGTGATGATGCTGATGATGATGATTGTGGTGATGATGATCATGATAATGATGCTGCTGATGATGATGCTGATGATGATGATAGTGCTGATGCTGATGATAGTGATGAGGATGATGCTGATGATGATGATGATGATGCTGATGATGATGATGATGATGATGATGATGATGATGATGAGGGTGAGGGTGAGGGTGAGGGTGAGGGTGAGGGTGGTGGTGGCGACGATGGTGATGAGGGTGATGGCAATGGTAAGGGGATTGTGGTTAGAGTGATGATGGGGATGGTGGGTGAGGGTGGTGATGGTGATGATGGTGATGACGATGGCGAACACGACGACCACACCCCGTGGCGACCGCGCGCGGGTGCACCAGCAGCCGACGGGCGACCGAGACCGTCCTGCGGAGGCCCCGGCGGGGCTTCTTGCTCGTCCAGGCCGGCTGCCCTTGGCGGCGCTGGTCCCTCGCCTCCGCGGGCCTTCCGCCGCCCAGAGGAATGGCGCTGCCCGTGGCGCAGCGCGGCCGGGTGTTGGATCTCGGAGTCCTCTGTCTGGGAAACGGATGACTCGAGTTACAGCCAACCCGCATAGTGAGGAGGGACGGTTCTCTTCAGGGTATCCTTGCATCCTTGCCTTCTCGGCCCGTGCTTAGCCACTTTCGCTGGCCGGGCCCGGCTCGACAAAGCTTCGAAACGGCCTTCAAAGGCCCTTGCATCCTTACCGTGCATCCTTATGATCTGGGTCGGCTGTACAGTCGGAACTCGGGTGTACCGGCGCTTTTTGTCAAGCCCGCCTTGGGTTTTGACAGTCTAGTTTTCGTGGGGTGGTTGCAGCGGGAGCTCGCGTCAGATTTCAGACTGGGTCTCGTCGTTTCCATGATGGCCTCGTCAGGCCAGCCTGGGGTCGATAAGGAAATCAGTTTCGCGAGCTGATTCGTGCGACCCCCTTTGGCTGGTCTCCTTTTTTCGTCCGACCAGATCCCGCCATCCTGCCTGGAAAAGGGCTTCCGCTCACGGCAGTCGACCATGAACAGGACAGAGCTTGAGGAATTGATCGGTGGAACTTGTGTCCCACCAGTGCCCAGGCGGAATGTGCACGAGGCCGCCAAGGTGTTCGTGACTTTTTCATATTTTCATTGTTGCTTCAACAGGGCATCCACACAAGCACAGTGCCAATACGGCTCCCTGGGGAGGTTTGATGATGATGGTGATGGCAGCGATGATGATGATGATGATGATGATGATGATGATGATGATGATGATGATGATGATGATGATGATGATGGTAATGGTGCTGATGATGATGCGGTTACTGCTGCTGATGATGGTGATGACGATGATGATGCTGCTGATTATGATGATGATGATGATGATGATGATGATCATCATCATCATCATCATCATGGTGATGATGATAAGATGATGATGGTGATACTGATGATACTGATGACGCTGATGAGGATGATGAGGATGATGACGATGTTGATGCTGATGATTATGATGATGCTGATGCTGATGCTGATGATGATGCTGATGGTGATGGTGATGGTGATGGTAATGGTGATGGTGACGGTGACGGTGACGGTGACGATGACGGTGATAGCCATTATGATGATCATGTTGACGACGATAGCGTGATGGAATTTGCTTGAAGGCATCTTGCCCCGCCGTGCGCCTGCTCGCGTGTCTCTCGGCATGTTGATGGTTGGCTGCCTGTCATTCTGCACAGCCTTCTATTCCGTCTTCTACAAGACCTGGCTAAACGCACAATGCATGTTATGCGGCTTCCTGCGAGGTCCGCACTCTAGGTCCTCTAGGTCTCCGATACGCCCACTGTCTTGGCCTTCTGCCAGACCTGCTGAGCCATTTGTTACGTGTTCTACCCATCCTTTCACGAGGCCCGGTCCATCTACATGCCATTTGGTAGGTGTTCTACCCGTCCTTCTACAAGGCCCAGCCCACCTACATAGCCTCCTGCCAGGCCTGGTGATTTCTGCGAGGCCTTCTACCAGGTATTCCCCACGTCATTATACTAAGCATCTTTCCCGGCAGGTTATAAGACAACCACTTGACCTTCCACTCGGCAGATGGATCTACATTGTTCTGGCGTGCTTAGCGTAGTGCCCTCAGCGGGCCGACAAGGAAGAATTACAGCACGTCGGCACGTAGCCGCTTCGGCTCTCACAGAGGCCCTGGCCCACCCCTCGAGGCATCTCCGCTCCCCGAGGCCCCGCGGGGATGGCGAGCTCCGCGAGCGTGCGGCTCCCGCCCGTTGGCAGGCAGCTCCAGCCCGCGCTGGCGTGGGCGGAGGCACCCAGCGCGGCCCCCGCACCGAGGCCACCCTCGACTCCCCGGGTGGCCCGCGGGCGCCCCGTCCCTGGCGTCCTCACGCCCGGCAGGATCCGCAGGCCTCTCGGGCTCCGGCTTCCCGGGCCTCCGGCTGCGTCGGCTCTCCACGACGACCTCCCCGAGCGGAAGAGGCTCCTCGGCGCGCCGCGCTGGCACGTGGCCGGGGCGCTCACGGCCCCCGAGCTGGGCAGCATGGAGCTGGTCGAGGCCATGAGCGGCCAGACTTGCGACACCGAGTCGGCCTCCGACCTCTCCGAGGAGTCCCCGAGGTCTTCCAAGCCGGGCGCCGGGCGCCATCGGACCGGCCAGGTGGCCCGCGAGGACCAGCGGCCCTTCTCCAGGTCGGGCCGCGTGCGTCCCAGTGGTGAGCCCTGCCAGCTGGAGGAGGACCGCAGGCCCGACCGACCTCGGCGGCCGCAGGCCCAACGCGTCTGGGCGACCGCGAGCGCCCCCGGCCAGAGGTGTGGCAGCCGAAGGAGAAAGACTGCATCAGCGTCAGCTTTCGGAGCTCCGCGCGGATTTCCTGGATCTGCGTTTTGTGCCCCTCGGGCGGCGCCTCCGGCGCACCCGCCCCCTGGCACGCTCCGCGCGCCAGGGAGGGGGTCCAGCGCCGAGCCAAGAACTCCGCGCGGAGCCCCGAGGCCCTGATTCGGCGGCGAGCGAGGGGGGGAAATGAGAAGGAGAAGGCCTTCTTGGAAGGCTCGGAAGCCACCTGGGCCTCTGAGAAGTTTCCTGAGTTTTCCCCGACGACAGACCAAGACTTCTCAGAAGGCGCGAGGGCATCTAAGAATTCCCGCCGCCTTCTGAGAAGGCCTTCTCCTTCTCATTTCCCCCCTCGCTCGCCGCCAAATGATGCAAACATAAAACCGGAGGTCCGCGCGGATTTCTTGGATCCGCGCTGGACCCCCCCTCCCTGGCGCGCGGAGCGCGCCAGGGGCGCCGCTGGAGGCGCCGCCAAGGGTCCCCAGCGCGGACCTCCGAGTTTTTATGTCTCTGTCATTCTTCGTTCCCCTAGTTTCTCCTTCCTCGATGCAGGCCGCCCAGCCTCGACGACTGCGGCCTCGACGACCGCAGGAGCATCCCGCGCTGCGCGAGCCCGGGCCCGAAGGCGCAGAAGCCGGCGAGCCCCCCCCCGCCCATGCGCCCGCGAGCGGAGGCGCCCGCCCAGGCCCGCCCCAGCCACGCGGGGAGGGCGCTGTCGGCGAGGGGGAGCCGTCGCCCGCGCTGCGAGTAGCTTCAAGTCGGGCGTGTCCCTCGACAGGGGGAATTTTCAAGAGCAGTCACATGATACCGGAGAGAAGCCCCAATCAGAATCTGTCTTTGGGCTATCGGGCCATAGGGCTAATTATGGAGCTGTGGGGCTCGAGGGCTATAGGGCTATTGGGCTGTTGGGCTATAGGACTAGGGCTATAGGGCTATAGGGTTATAAGGCGATCGGGCTGTTGGGCTGTAGGGCTATAGAGCTATAGGGCTATAGGGCTGTAAGGCTAGCACCCGGGCACACGGGCACCTGGGCACCCGGGCGAGCCGCCGAAATCGGCGACGCAGTTCCCGGGCACCCGGGCACCCGGGCACCCAGGCGGGCCGCCAAAATCGGCGACGCAGCTAACCTAACCATATGAATCCGCTAGGACCCCTACAGTGGCAAGGACTGATAGGGGAAAAATTGTCGGGGGAGGATTCGTTCGCTATTGTTTCAGTATTTCTTATCTTCCGTCAAAAATCCACCTGTAGGAGGACATGCCCGACCTACGAGCAGCTGCTGAGGTTCAGCAGCGGCGAGGCGGCCTGGCCTGCCGAATCATAGTCGAAGAAGATACAGCGCCGCAGACATAAACGTTTGGCGCTCCGCGCGGGCTGCTTGGATCTGCACATGCCCCCCCTCCCCCCCCCCTGGCGGCGCCTCCGGCGCCGCCCCTGGCGCGCTCCGCGCGCCAGGGAAGTGCAGTCCAGCGCAGATCCAAACTCTTGGCGGAGCGCCAGAAGTGTATGTTCATGCCGTTGTTTCTTCTTCTAGAGGTCAAGCAGCGGCGAGGCGTCACGACCTGCTTGTAGGGCCACCAAAGGATTGTCCAGGACCCCTGCGTGGTCTGCGCGACGTGTTCTCAGAACATGTCGGGCCGAGGCCGCCTTGTTTTGTTGCATTGGTCTTCTGGTCTGGGGCAAGAGACTTTGGCTATCATAACAGGCTTTTGGTTACGAGAGCATGTCGTGGCAGACCTGCAGGGATGCCGGGACGGTCCGTCTCTGCTGACGAGCAGCTGCTGGAGGCACATCGTTTCGGGCAGAGAGGCCGCGCGCCATGCTCCGCTCCACACGCCATCGACGGGCCCAGACCTCCAACGTCTCCAGAAACTCAAGGCTTAGGTCGGGCATGTCCTCCTACAGGGAGATTTTGGGCGAACGTGAAAAATAGTCAAACGATGCGCCGAAATAGTAGAAAATAGTTGAGAAATCGTCCCCCGTATGATTGTTGACTATTTTGGGATACTCCTCCTGTAGGGGGACAGGCCCGACTGAACTCAAGGCGGAAGTTGTTGTAACCAGTTGCGGCATCAGGGGGCCTCGGCGGGCCACGGGACTATCAGCAGGCGGCTCGGGATAAAGAGCCGGCCCTGGGGAGAGGGTCCAGACCTCCGGGGGCCCCGCACTGGAACGCCCGAGACGTCGGATGTCTGGGGAGGGCAGCCGGGATGGTGCCTGCACCGGCCCCCGGGTCCGGAGTGGGCCTCTAGCGTAATTCTATGCATTTTCGGCCGTTCTCGACGCTGATGAGTCGCACAGGCGCTCGTCTACAGTCGAGGGCTGACCCCCTGCCCACGCTTCTAATACCTTTTCGTTTGCACTCGGCGTGGTACTCATCTGAGGCGTGCCGTGATTGACTAGCTTTCTTTCGGTGCTACCTTTTGGAGCAGGTGCCTTTGAATCTTTCGACGCCGCGGCAGTAAACCACGTGCATAATTGTAAGCATGCGTAGTCGTTCTCGGTGGTGATGAGTTGAAGAGGCGCTCGCTTTCAGTCCTCAGGTTCGACATCCTCTTCGGAGCTCCAGACGGCACGACAGTTTATTTTCAAGCGCGGTGGCAGCCATGGTGTTGCTCAACCTGGGGCGCCATGCCAGAAGGGTATTGGCAAACAGTCAACATGGCATCGCATCGCGCACCCGTGTCGTTGCACAGTCAATGCAGTGCTTCCGTCCGAACATATACTATTTTCAGCGCACGCTGCAGCGACGTGATGAGGAGATGGGGCGGAAGAGAAGTGCAGCGGAAAGAAAATTGGGCGCTGTGCGCGTCTGGCAGCCACTTCGCAATATGAGTGCCCTCGCTCGGTGCTCCCGTCGCTTGGGCGCTTTCTCTCGGCCACCTCGTCGGGACAGTGTTGGGCGCCGTGGCAGCAGCGGGTAGGTCATCGCGCAGTAGGCTTAAATCGGGCGTGTCCCTCTACAGGAGGAATCTTCGAGCGGAAACGGCGGCCACGCGCCAAATCCATGGAATTGGCGGCCACGCGCCAAATCCATTGATCGCTAATCCATGTTTGCGCGCATAGGGGGGGGGGATCGGCACAGGGGGGGATGCATCGACCTCGAGCGGTTGACACATCGACGATGCATGGTTGATGCCAGGGCGATGCATCGACGATGTACAGGCGATGCATGGGGCGGTCTGCATCGACGATGCATCGACGATGCACGGGCGATGCATCGTCGCCGTTCGAGATCGATGCCGCCCCCCATTGTTGCCCTTCAGAACGTCAGAGAGGCTAAGTCCAGACGGAGTAAGCCCAGACGGAGACCGAGCACTCTGTGTGGACTTCGTCCGTATGAATTTGTCTCCTATCAGGAGAGGCTAAAGTCCAGACGTCCCTGCGTTTCACCCACCCAAGACAGCGCTTCGTGGCCCCATAGAGAGCCCCACCGAAGGTTCCAGTGCTACCGTCCGCATGCGTCCCGCACACCCAGTACAGCTTTTTGTGGCCCCCTCCTCCCTCCTCCCTGCGTTTCACCCACCCAGTACAGCGCTTCGTGGCCCCATAGGGAGCCCCACCGAAGGTCCCAGTGCTACCGTCCGCATGCGTCCCGCACACCCAGTACAGCGCTTCGTGACCCCATAGGGTGCGTCCCACACACCCAGTTTGGCGTCTTCACCCACACAGTCCAGCGCTTCGTGGCCCTATAGGGAGCTCCACCAACGGCCCCATGTTACCGCTCGCATTCGTTCCCCCCCCACCCGGTGCAGCGGTTCGTGGCCCCATAAGGAATTTCACCGAAGAAGCTATTCACAATCGCGGTACCCACACTTTCATATGGTTGGGTCCTTCGCATGGGTAGGAGAGGCTAAGTCCAGATGCAGTAGGCCCAGACAAAGACCAAACATTCCGTATGACCCCACTCGATATGGATTGAGTTTCCTACAAGGAGAGGCTAAGTCCAGTTGGAGTAAGCCCAGACGGAGACCGAGCAGTCCGTATGGACGTACTCCGTACGGAGTTAGCCTCCTATCAAGAGAAGCTAAGTCCAGTTGGAGTAAGCACAGACGGAGTCCGAGCATTCCGTATTGACCAACTCCGTGTGGGTTCATTCCCGTTTTATCAAGAGAGGCTAAGTCCAGATGCAGTAGGCCCAGGCGGAGACCAAGCGCTCCGTATGACCCCACTGCACATGGATTGAGCTTCCTACAAGGAGAGGCTAAGTCCAGATGGAGTAAGCCCAGACGGAGGCCGAGCTTTCCGTGTGGACGTCCTTTGTACGGAGTTAGCCTCTATTCAGGAGATGCGAAGTCCAGTTGAAGTAAGCCCAGACGGAGGCCGAGCTTTCCATTTGGACCTATTGCGCATGGACTTAACCGTTTTTCAGGGGAGGCTAGGTCGAGACGGATTAAAGTTCAGAGTGAGACCGAGCACTCCGTCTGGTTTTAGTCTTCTATCACGGGAGGTTAAGTCCAGACGGAGTTAGCCCAGATGTACACCGAGGACCCCGTGTGGACCTTTTCCGTGTGGACCTATGTTCCTATCAGGAGACGCTAAATCCAGACGGAAGACGCCCAGACGGAAACCGAGCATTCCGTGTAGACTTGCGTTGGACATATTTCGTTTCTTATCAGGAGAGACGAAGTCCAGACGGAGCAAGCCCAGGCGGAGGCCGAGCATTCCGCATTGACCTGCTCCGTATGGGCCTACTTATTTGACAGAAAATACAAGTCCAGACGGGGTAATCCCAGACGGAGACCAATCACTCCGTATGACCCTACTCCCTCTGCGTTGTGCCTCCTGTCACGAGAGGCTAAGTCCTGACGGAGTAAGCCCAGACGGAGACCGAACACTTCGTATGACCCTTCTCCATATGGGCTTAGCTTCCCAGAAGGAGAGGCGAAGTTCAAACACAGTAGGCCCAGACGGAGACCGAGCATTCCGTATGGACCTGCTCCTTACGGATTTAGCCTCCGATCAGGGGGGGCTAAGCCCAGACGGGGTACGCCCAGACGGAGGCCGAGCTTTCCATATGGACCTATTCCGTATAGGCTTAGCTTCTTATCAGGGCAGGCCAAGTCCAGTTGGAGTAAGCCCAGATGGAGGCCGAGCTTTCCGTATGGACACCTTCCGTATGGGTTTCGCTTTTCACCAGGGGAGGCTAAGTCCAGACGGAGTATGCCCAGACGCAGACCGAGCATTGCGTACGGACCTGTTCTGTATGGATTTAGCTTCCTACCCGGAGATACCAAGTCCAGACGTCCGCATATACCTGTTCCGTCTAGGCTTAGTCTTCGATCAGGAAGTGCTAAGTCCAGATAGAATAATCCCACATGGAGGCCGAGCATTCCGTATGGACGCATTCCACACGGACCGAGCATTCGCCGATACGTCGAAGGGGACGATAAGGGGCGAATGCCTAAGGGGCGGGTATTTCACCCATTCGCCCAGGAGCCTCGCCGAAAGCATGGAACATCGGCGCCCCCAAGACCGCCGAATAGGTATTGCGCTCCCCGTGGTTATTCGCCTCCCTCGTCGCTCCCGGACAGGGCATAGACATAGATTCGGAGAGATCCGCGCGGATCTCTTGGATCGGCGCTGGGCCCCCCCCCGCGGCGCCTTCGGCGCTGCCCGTGGCGCGCCCCGCCCGCTGGGAGATGGAATCCAGCGCTGATCCGAGGAATCCGCGCAGACCGACTCCGCGCAGGCCTCCAAGGAATCCAGGGAGTCCTGCGCTGATCCAAGGAATCCAAGGAATCTGAGCAATGTTTGCACAATGTTGTTTCCCAACCATCCTGTGGGGTTGGGCCCTCGTTTTGAAGAGAGCGCCCCGCGTCCCTCCTCCTCTCCTCTCCTCTCCTCTGCTCGCCTCTTCTCTCCTCTCCTCTCCTCTCCTCTCCTCTCCTCTCCTCTCCTCTCCTCTCCTCTCCTTTCCTCCTCCTCCCCCTCCTCCTCCCCCTCCTCACTCCTACCATCCTGTGGTGTTGGGTCTTGGTTTTGAAAAGACAGCGCCCTGCGTCACTCCTCTCCTCTCCTCCTCTCCTCCTCCCCCTCCTCCCTCCTCCCATCCGCCTCGCCACCACTCTGCGTTTCATCCACCCAGGACACCGTTTCGTGGCCCCATAGGGAGCTCCACCCTGCAGTGGCAGGGTCCGCATGCGTCGACGCCACCCAGGACAGCGCTTCGTGGCCCCATAGGGAGCTCGACCGAAGGCTCCAGTGGCAGGGTCCGCATGCGCCAGCAGCACCGAGGACAGCGCTTCGTGGCTCCATATGGAGCTCTACCGAAGGTTCCAATGGCAGGGTCCGCACGCGTCAACGCCACCCAGGACAGCGCTCCGTGGCCACATTGGGGGCCCCACCGAAGGCTCCAGTGGCAGGGTCCGCATGCGTCAGAGCCACCCAGGACGGCGTTTCGGTGCCCCACAGGGAGCTCCACCGAAGGCTCCAGTGGCAGGATCCGTATGCGTCAACGCCATCCAGGACAGCGCTTCGTGGGCCCATAAGTAGCTCCACCGAAGGCTCCAGTGGCAGGGTCCACATGCGTCGACGCCACCCAGGACAGCGTTTTGTGGCCCCATAGGGAGCTTCACCGAAGGCTCCAGTGGCAGGGTCTGCGTGCGTCAGCTTCGTGGCCCCACAGGGAGCTTCACCGAAGGCTCCAGTGGCAGGGTCCGCATGCGTCAACGCCACCCAGGACACCACTTCGTGGCCCCATAGGGAGCCTCACCGGAGGCTCCAGTGGCAGGGCCCGCATGCGTCAGCGCCACTCAGGACAGCGCTTCGTGGGCCCATCCAGTGCTCCACCGAAGGTTCCAGTGGCAGGGTCCGCATGCGTCAACGCCACAGGGAGCTCCACCGGAGGCCCCAGCGGCAGGGTCCGCATGCGTGAACGCCACCCAGCTCAGCGTTTCGTGGCCCCATGGGGAGCTCCACCCTGCAGTGGCAGGGTCCGCATGCGTCAACGCCACCCAGGACAGCGTTTCGTGGCCCCATCGGGAGCTCCACCGAAGGCTCCAGTGGCAGGGTCCACATGCGTCGACGCCACCCAGGACAGCGTTTCGTGGCACACAGGGAGCTCCACCGAAGGCTCCAGTGGTATTGTCCGCGTGCGTCAACGCCACCCATGTAGGCACACGCCCCACACAGTTCGTGCCCACACAGGGAGCTCCACCGAAGGCCCCTGTGGCAGGGACCCCATGCGTCATCGCTACCCAGAACAGCGTTTCGTGGCCCCACAGGGAGCTCCTCCCAAGGCCCCAGTTTCGCATGCGTGTCCCCCGCCCAGGATACCGCTTCGCGGCCCCATAGGGAGCTCCACCGAAGGCCCCAGTGGCACCGTTTGCATGCATCTCTCCCGCCTAGGACAGCGCTTCGTGGCTCCATCGGGAGCGCCATCGAAGATCCCAGTGGCGCCGTTCGCGCACGTCTCGCCCACCCAGGACAGTGCTTCGTGGCCCCATATGGAGCTCCACCGAAAGCGGCAGTGGTGTAGTTCGCATGCGTCCCCCCACTCATGCCAGCGTTTCGTGGCCCCACAGGGAGCTCCACCGAAGGCTCCAGTGGCAGGGTCAGCATGCGTCACTGCCACCTAGAACAGCGCTTCGAGGCCGCATCGGGAGATCCACCGAAGGCTCCAGTGACAGGGTCCGCATGCGTCGACGCCACCCAGGACGGCGCCTCATGACCCCATAGGGTAGGGAGCTCCACCGAAGGCCCCAGTGGCACCGTCCGCATGCGTCAACACCGTTCAGGGCAGCGCTTCATGGCCCCACTGGGAGCTCCACTGAAGGCTCCAGTGGCAGGGGGTCCGCATGCGTCAACGCCACCCAGGACAACGCTTCGTGGCCCCATAAGGAGCTCCACCGAAGGCCCCAGTGGCAGGGTCCGCATGCGCCAACGCCACCCAGGTCAGCGCTTCGTGGCCCCATGGGGAGCTCCGCCGAAGGCTCTATTGGCAGGGTCCGCACGCGTCAGCGCCACCCAGGACAGCGTTTCGTGGGCCAACAAGGAGCTCCACCGAAGGCCTCAGTGGCAGGGACGCCATGCGTCACCGCTACCCAGGACAGCACTGCGTGGCCCCATAGGGAGCCCCACCGAATGCCCCAGTGGGACCGTCGCATGCGTTTCCACCTCCCAGGACAGCGCTTCGTGGCCCGATAGGGGGCTCCACCAGAGGCCCCACTGGCACCGTTTGCATGCGTCTCCCCCACCTAGGACAGCGCTTCGTGGCCACATCGGGAACGTCACCGGAGGTCCCAGCGGCGCCGTTCGCATGCGTTCCCCCCGCCCAGGACAGCGCTTCGTGGCTCCATCGGGAGTTCCACCGAAAGCGGCAGTGGCGCAGTGCGCATGCGCGCTTCGTGGTCCCATAGGGGGCTCTGACGAAGGCTCCAGTGGCAGGGTCCGCATGCGTCAACGCCGCCCAGGACAGCGCTTCGTGGCCCCATGGAGAGCTCCACCGAAGGCTCCAGTGGCAGGGTCCTCCGCATGCGTCAACGCCACCCAGGACAGCGCTTCGTGGCCCCACAGGGAGCTCCACCGAAGGCCCCAGTGGCACCGTTCGCATGCGTCAACGCCACCCAGGACAACGTTTCGTGGCCTCACAGGGAGCTCCACCGAAGGCTCCAGTGGCAGGGTCCGCATGCGTCGACGCCACCCAGGACAGCGTTTTGTGGCCCCATAAGGAGCTCCACCGAAGGCTCCAGTAGCAGGATCCGTATGCGTCAACGCCACCCAGAACATCCTTTCGTGGCCCCACAGGGAGCTCCACCGAAGGCTCCAGTGGCAGGGTCCGCATGCGTCAACGCCGCCCAGGACAGCGTTTCGTGGCCCACTCCACCGAAGGCTCCATTGGCAGGGTCCGCATGCGTCAACGCCACCCAGGACAGCGCTTCGTGGCCCCATCGGGAGCTCCACCGAAGGTTCCATTGGCAGGGTCCGCGTGCGTCAACGCCACCGAGGACAGAGCTTCGTGGGCCCATAGGGGGCTCCGGCGAAGGCTCTATTGGCAGGGTCCGCACGCGTCAGCGCCACCCATGCAGGCACACCTCTCACACGGTTTGTGGCCCCACAGGGAGATCCACCGAAGGCCTCAGTGGCAGGGACCCCATGCGTCTCCGCTACCCAGGACAGCGCTTCGTGGCCCCACAGGGAGCTCCACCGAAGGCCCCAGTGGCACCGTTCGCATGCATTTCCCCCGCCCGGGACAGCGCTCCGTGGCCCCATCGGGAGCTCCACCGAAGGTCCCAGTGAGGCCGTTCGCATTCGTCTCCCCTACCGAGGACAACGCTTCGTGGCCCCATACGGAGCTCCACCGAAGGCGGAAGTGGCCCAGTGGCGCAGTTCGCATGCTTCTCCCCCGTCCAGGACAACGCTTCGTGGCCCCATAGGGAGCTCCACCGAAGGCCCCAGTGGCGGTGTCCACATGCGTTCGCGCCACTGATTTCGGCACACCCCTCGCACGTGTCGTGGCCCCATAGGGAGCTCCTCCGAAAGCGGTGCCCACAATGCGGCACTCGCAGCTGCACATGGTTGGTTCCCTCGTCAGGCGAATTCTTCTTCCGGTGAGCCACCGCGTCAGGCCGCCGCACCTTCAGGAGCAGCGAGAGGGGAGAACAGGCTCAGAAGGGGGGAACTGGTCGGCATCGCGCGTTCGTCGGCTCTGCGGTTACTGTCCAGCCTCGGGGCGCCTTCCAGCAGTTGCCTCGACGAGGGCGTTCTGGGAGTGCCCGCATTGTCGCGGACGGCCGCCAGACAGCCGAGATATGGCACGAGAGCCACGGGGCAACGTCAGGGCGGGAGAGGCTCAGGGGGGGATGCCCAAACCTCGCCGATGCGGGCCCGATGCCCTCTTCCCGCCAAGGATCGCGCGCATCTGTCAGCGGGGGCCCATCGCCGATGTATTCGGCGATGTATCGCCCATTCGAAGCCGACGCTCCTCCCCCCCCCCCCCCATGAGCTGGTCGTCCCCCCCTATCGTTGCTTCTCACCTCTCTCGCGCAGGGGCCCTGCGTTTAGGATGCAGCTCCTGTGGGGTTGAATTTAGCATCGGCGGTGGCATATCCGTGGTCGGAAGCCAGCCTAATCTGGAACAGTCCCGCCCAATCCGGCCTAATCCTGCCTAGTCTGGCCTGATCGGGCTCAATCCTGGGCTCAGTCCAGGTCAGTGGGCTAGTCCGGTTCAGTGGCCCCTTCATCGGGCTCAATCGATTTTCTTATCATTCCCAAGAAGACCTCCCAGAGGCTGCCTCCTAACCCTCAGCCACGCGCAGAAGGGGGGTAGGGGGAGAGGGGAAGGCTTCGCAGAAGCACCCTGCTTCTCGGAAGCGGCGGCCGTCTATGTAAGTGGAGGGCCAGCGCCTTCTCAGAAGCAGCCGCCTTCTAAGATCACCCGGCGCGTTCCACTACTCGCAAAGTGCCTACTCGCAAACGCCCGAAAAACACATGTCTGCTTCGGTGCAATCTACCGTGGACCCCCCGCAGCGGATCCGGTCGATGTGCGAGCAGCTACTCTGCGAGTTGTGGAACGCGCTCATCTAGAAGAGGCCCCCCCTCCCCCCCCCCCTTGTGCG